CAGAAAAATTAGAAGGGAAAAATGATGACTGACTTTATGTTAAGATTTCATTTTAAAAAGGGTTAATAAGTAGTTAGGAGATATTAGAAACATGTTGCAGATGTGACTAGCAAGTATTATGGATGGCTATCATATCACTGGATGGTGTTACAAGTAACCTGTTACGTTATTTATTCATTAGCAGTATAGATACCATTAATTTATTAGCTCTTTAAAAGTGGACTGTAAATAAAACCTTAATATCAAGTGTAATCAAAATAACCCAGGAACTCCTTAATATAGACAGGCCAACCACTTACATGCATGATTAAATCTGTTGCATTTATAAGTGTAATTTTTACTTAATGGCTGGTCCTGCAGAGCTGCTGTGGGATCTGACCATGGTAATCTAGTCTGTTTCTAGCCTGCACATCCTCACCAGAAATACACTCTGCAGTCAGAATTTGGGTGACATTCTAGTTTGTGACTTTTTGGGTCATATGCGGCCCAAAGAAACAACAGCCAGTTCCTTCTCCCATAGCTATATTGACTGTGAAGGACAAATAGAATTAAAAACAATGCAGCCAAAATTTTTATTACAAAAGAAAGTGCATCTTATCTGGGATGCACACAGAGAGCAAATCTGTTCAGTGAAAGGGTGCCATTTTTATTAGTGGCTCTTACAGCCAGAGCAGCAGTATAGGCTGTCAGATACGTCATCTTCAGATGTTTTGGATTTTATAGGGAGTATTTTTTTTCAGTTTTTTAGGTGGGTGAGGAGGGAGGATTTAATTAGGGCCTGGGAGTTTTGGAAACCAGAACAATGTTACAAGGTTGAGAATGCAAAGGGAGAAACACTTGCTCATCCAGCAAAGCAAGCAGTGTGGGTGGTGAAAGGTGAATCTGAATTATAGGTAATTATGACAATTGGTCAACAGTTGGAGGTGGTGGGAAGGAACCTAAGAATTTATCGAACCCTAACCAGTAGGTTAACTGCTGCACGAAAGTCATATTTTCTTTAAAGAACCCAACACCTAGTCTCTGTCCAGTGTACTAAATGCTTGTAAGAATCCAGCCGTGCGTTTGCATGGTTTGTCAAGGTCCACTGCTGGAACAAGTGCAAACCGTAACAGAAGTGGCAATCCAGTGCAATTATTTTCCCTTCATCTTGCTACGATTTATTTACTTTCAAATGGTAATAAGCAGTAGCACACAAGGTCTTGTCTCAGTCAGTAGCACCCTCTGTTCCTGGCAAAATAAGTGTGTGTGCATTGACGCAAACCCAGGGGACTGCCCAGGCGGCTGTTGCTGGATGCTTGCATGTTTCCAGTTACAAAATGGCCTGACGAGGAATGAATTACTCTGGTACGCATGTATGTTAGTAAACAATGCGTCTCTTCCTGGGAGAGCAGCTTTCCTGGCTTCCTACTGCACAGCTAATGCTATCTGGCATGCATCTGAATTGCTGTTAAAAGGCCAGGTCTCATCAAGGCAATGTGCAAAATCTTCCTCAGCACAAGCAAGAGGGGGTGTTTTGGTCTCTAGTAATTGCATTTCCTTTCATTCCTCCCATGCCAGCTGGGCCGATGCACAAACAGCGTGGTGAAATATGAGCTGATGCGTCCGTCCAACAAAGTCCAGCTCTTGGTGCTGTGTGAGGACCACAGAGGGAGAATGGTGAAACACCAGTGCTGCCCTGGCTGTGGATATTTCTGCACTGCAGTAAGTCCCTTGTATTAATCTGGGGATCGGGTCTCTGTTGTAGTAACCAAATAGACTGCAAGTGGCTGATAGTGTGGTTAATCCTATCCAGCTGACTTTCAGGGCCTTGCTACACGTTTAAATTCATGTTGGATAGAAACCTGCTATAGAGTTGTTACACATTTTCAAGCACTAACTTTGGAGCTGGTTGGCTCTTTTTATAGCTGGAAAATCATTTTTATCCTGTGCTAATTACTCTGCAGATGTGGCTGGTCTAAATTTATTGTGTGATAAGTACTTTGCACTTATGGCTGGTTGTGTGGTTGCCCTACATTTATTGCGTGATTTGCCAGTTAACTGTGCGATAAGCATTTGCACTTACAGCCGGTCATGTGCCTGGTCTACGTTTATTGTGCAGTTCACCAGTGAATTGTGCAATATGTGTAATGTGTAGCAAGGGTCTCAGTGATCCAGTTCATCTCTTTCCTCCCTCTCACTGTTGGACAGTGCTGCTTGTAAACAGCTATAAGCTGTTTGCAGCAATAATTCTTAACCAGGGTGCTGCGAGATCTTTTTAAGAGTGTCATGCAATATTAGCACTATTGGGTGTATGAACAAGTATAGATGACTTGCAAGATAAACACAAAGATTTCAAATAGGAATCCATAGTGTCAAAAACACTCTGACCTGTTGTGGTCTTTCTGAATTCTCAGCAATAAAAGAATTGCTCTGTTATCTTTCCACAGTCAAAAAAAAAAATTAGGGAAAGCTACAAGATGGCATTTTCTGAGTCAAAAAGGTTGATAACTACCCCATTTACAGAGACAAAAAGGGAGCATATCCTTGGCCTTCACAGATGACAATGAATGTTGTTGACTGATCCTTGACAGCTTGCCCAGAATAGAGGCTTGGTCTTGAAATTTCCAGAGGAATGTTGGTTTTCCCCTGTTCTCACACACCGATCCCCTGCAGGGGCCCTTCACAATTTACTTTACTGAGTCAGTGAGTACTTGTGAATTCTTGAACCCTATCCGTAGTGTTTTCTTTAGACTGATTTATAGAGTAAACTTGTAAGTGATGTGGTTGCAGCAAGACACTGGGAGTTTGCCACTGAGGCTTTATGTGGCCTTGGCCCAGTCACTTAAGTTGTCTGTACTCTAATTTGCCTATTTATAAAGTTGTCATAACAGCATTTACCTGCATCACAGGGTGACTTGGAGGCTTAATTGACTAATGTTTGCAATGTCCTTTAAGATCACTTGGTGAAAGATGCTATACAAAGTCCAAAGCATTCTTATAATTGCAGTAAGTGGAACTATCATGAGTTTCACGCTGAGTTAAAGATCATTTAAAAGATAAAAATTCTTGGAATGCTTAAAGGCAAACTTCAAAGGCAAAACATAGATAATTATGATTCTTGGAAGGAAGATGCATTCAGCTGAAAAGTAAGTTTTAACTACTCTGCCCTTTGATGTTCTTCTCACGGAGTGGCACATCCTGGTTCATAGATGCAACCCATAGGTGCTTCATACTGTGCCATCACCAATAAGCATAGGCATCCAAAGGGCTTCAGGTAATACTGATGTTATAGAACAATGAATTCTGGGATTGCTCCAGTTAATCAGGAAACACTGGACATTTTTTTAGGCCAGGGGTGTCAAACCCATCTGACTCACTGGTTGCTGGGCCAGTCTGCAGGTCAGACCATGACTGACTGCTTGGGCAGCACCTGTGGCACTGGTTCCAGGCCATGTACCACATGCAGCACATGCTGGCTCCAGGGCTTCCTGTGTACGTCAGGGCTGGTACAGGGTTATGCACTGCATGCGGTGCCTCGCCATACTGGCCTTTCATGCTGGTTTTGGCAAAGCCTGATCTGGACTGGCCTCAAAGCCAACACTTAGCTGGTTCAGGGCACTACATGTAGCATGTCCATGCTGGGCCCCTGTGCTGTGTGGAAGGTGTGCGGCACCAGGTTGAGTCTTCATATGGCATGGAGCACTCGAGGCTGGGGCTGGCACGTGGGGTTGGTCCAGCAACCCATGGGCTGGATCTGATGTCATCATGGGCCAGATATGGCCAATGGGCTCTGTTTGACACCCCTGTTTTAGAGGGAGCAAAAAGTTTAAGAAAGGTAACTTGATTCCACGCTGAATGAGTCTGGCAGCTAGGTTAGTGGAGTGGTACATTGTACAGATCTAGGGGCTTGTCTAAATACAAAAGCTGAACTCATTTTAACTAAATTGTATTAGAATCTAGTGAAGTTTTATCAGTGTAACCAGCTTGCATGAAGACCCTTAAGTCTGCCCTAAACAAGCCAACAGCATACCAGGTTGTATTAATAGAAGTGTCACTTGCAAATCAAAGGAAGTAATTCTGTTCTCTTCAGCACTGCTGAGGCTCCCCACCTGAAGTACTGTGTCCAGTTTTGGGCCCCATACTTTCTGAAACTTGTGGATAGATTGGGGAGTCCAACAGAGAGCGACAAAACATTATTAGAGGCCTGGGAAACATGATTTACAAGGAAAGGCTGAAAGGACTAGGGTTATTTAGTTGGGGAAGAGAAGACCGAGGGGAGATTTGATAACAGTTATCAAATACCTGAAGGGTGATTGTAAAGATGATGGAGATTAGACCTTTCTCAGTGACCTCAAGGTACAGCAAAAGAAATTTAGGTTGAAGATTAAGAGGATCTTTCTGAGTACAGTAGTGGTTAAGCATTGGAAGGTCTCAAATCTCCAGCCTTGGAAATTTTCAAGTTTAAGATGAAGCACAGTAAACAGAAGGGTGAAGTTCATTGTTGTTCTTGACCAAATGTGGGAGTTTCTTCTCTGTGACTTCTCCAGGGCACTTTCATGGAATGTCAGCCTGAAAGCAGCATCTCCCACCGTTTCCATAAGAACTGTGCCTCCCAGGTCAACGACATGAGCTATTGCCCACACTGTGGGGAAGATGCCTCAAAGGCAAAGGAGGTGACGATAGCTAAAGCAGACACAACCTCCACAGTATCTCTGACCTATGAGCAGCAAAAACCAGCAGCTCTGGAGGGAAGGGCAGACACTACAACGGGAAGGTAAGTCACTGTTCATGGGAGGCCTGGTACCCTGCCATGTTGTAGATCTGCAACCTTGCACTCTAAATAGTTTGCTATGACAGGCCAAGCCACGCCAACAAATAGAAACTCAGGCCACAGCAGTGATATACTAAACTTTCACTTCTGTAAACCTGGCTTCTTGTGTCACAAGTGAAATGCATCTGGTGTCAGTCCAGTTCCCATTCTGATTTGCCTGCATCATAAAATTGCTGCACAATTCAGCCTACCTTGCAACATGTTCAAGCAGGGTCCACTTTAGCAGGGAGGGATTGAAGTGGAGTGGCAGATGTGAGAGTGGCGGCAGCTGGGCCTAGAGTAACAGTGGGTGATTGCACATCAGAATTGAGGTTGGCAGTTCTGGTCACAAGACGTGGAAGCTTTCATAGGCCCTGCCCACAACACACTTGATTAACCAATCAGAAGTTGTGCATCGGGAAAATCAAAGCCCGTGCAGGAAAAATCAAACTATTATCTGTGCTGGAAGATCCTCCATATTGAACAGCATTCAGGAGAGAGCCAATTTCTTGACATCAGACTTCAAGAGCAGGTTAGACAGGCCCTTGATTGAAATGATTTTGTCAGGGAGGATCTTGCCTTGAGCAGAGTACTGGACTAGATGGCCTTGTGATGTCCATTCCAATCCTGTTTTACCATGATCCTATGATTCTTTGTTGTTTGCTGCGCTGCTCTTTCTCAGCATACTGGGTAGTACCACCTGCCCCGTTTTCCTGCAGTATTTGTTGCATGGTGCCAGCCTGAGTCTGAAGGCAAATCCCAGCTGAAGGAACCATGAAATACATTTGTTTATTTCTCAAATTTAAGGCCATTTTGTATTTAAAATTCTTTTTCTTGCCTCATTTGGCATAAGATGCACATATTCTTGTCTGTTTTTAATGGCTATGTTTGTATGTTTCCTTTTTTCCACTTTAGTGGCACCGGAATGCGGTTGTCAGAGGAAGACAAGCCGGAGAGTTCAGCTGCTGAGGGGTTTGACATGGCTGGGTCTTCTGTTTTTGTGAAGCCTGCCACTGGCCTGACCCAGGGACCAGTTAAAGAAACCTTGGAAAGCGCCTTGATTGCCCTGGATTCAGAAAAGTAAGAACTGGTCTTGAATTCTTTTAAATGGCACCTGGTTTTGTTGAACTGGAGCAAAGCAAGATTTAGTGTACCTGAATATGAGTCCACTTGAACATATGGTGTGTTTCTATTTAGGATGGTCATTCTGCAGGCACTGAGGATTATGGATTTTTCCAAACAGTTTCTGCTTTTAACCTTTTTACTGATCAATTTGCTAGTGGGGAGTAGTTTGTCCTCCTTACCACTAAGGTTGACCTGTCTAGGAGTTCTCATTCACAATATTAACACCCCAGAGGTTCTTAGTCAAGCATCAGTGCCTCAGATTTAGCCCCCTATGAGCAGGTGTCCTTCTTTTGGCTTTATTTGGAATTATTTAATCCCATTTACCTCACTACCAGGCTGGGTTCATTGTTTCAAATTGAGAAATTGAAAATTTCCAAATATGTATTTTCACACAAGTATGTCACAACTGATTTTGGCTGACTGTGTACCCACAGCATCCTGCTCTTTGCAACTATCTCACAACATTTTTTCCATTAAAAAAAGAAAAAACCAAACAACTAGAAATCAAGAGTTTTTCAGTTTGCTGTACAAAGATGCATCTTCACATGGGAACTTGAGGTTTTTGCTGGAAGATGGTCCAGTTTTCAAGGGGAACCCACACAACACAATGTTTGTGCTTTTTAATGAAATCTCAACAGATGTCAAAGTTTCTAACACCACAAATAAACATTCTGCTTGAATGCGTCATGCACGTGTACACGCATTATCCCTTTTCAGTGTTGAGTTTTCCCATTACAGGGCTGTTGTAGTTTAATGCTCCTGAGTAAGAAAGCTAACTTTCCATGTAAAATGGGATTTTGCCATCTTCCCTTATAAACATGTCAAAGAGATGCTCTGCCCTGGTGAGCTTAATAATCTAAGCAAGCGCAGCACATCCAGGTGTAGTTGTAAAACATGATCTCTTGGTGACTTCCCAGTTAAAGATTACTGATTTGAGTGGCCAGATTTTTTTTTTCCATTAGCCCTGCTGAGCCAGCGGAGCTATGGGAGAATGAGCTGAGTTTTGTTCCTCTTGTGTATCACCAACATAATTGCTTGCTAAAAGTCCAAATTGTTTATACATATGCCATACCAAGGAAGGCCACAGATCTGCCCAGTTACCCTTTGAAGGGCTATGGGGATGCACACATGCAGCAGAGTGCAGGATTTGTCCTGAAGAACCTTTCATTACTGGTTAAAGATCCACAAATTAGAGAGAACTCAGCTTTGGGATTCTGGCTTGTTTGCAGTGCTGCCAAGTGGGAGACACTGAACATCTTTTTAACTCATAGAATAGTGAAGAAAACATAAGCATGGAGCCCCAACCTGTTTTAAAGCCGCTTTACAGAGTAGAGCTCTGTAGAGCTTTTGCATGTTTCCAGCAAGGGTGAGCCCCAAAGACAAGAGCGTATTATATCTAGCTGCTTTGAGTGTCTGTCTTCAAGCAATTGTCTAAATACCTGTCTGCCAAAGGGGCATCTAATGCTATCCAGGAGGACTCTGAGCACCTCCAAAACATGTTAACTGCCTCAGGTTAGCAAGCATGGCAAAGGTCTGTTCAGAAACTGAAGCACATGGCATGTTCTCACTAAAGGAAATGCTAACAAAGCCTGAAGGGTGCTAACTGCCTCTAATTTGTATGTGTGCGCGCACGCACATGTGCGCTTGGGAATACTGCTGTCCCAAAGGTGAATGGAAGCTGTTAGTTCAACAATGTCCTTCAGGGAAAGCAAATTCACTTTGGATGGTCCTGGACAGTCCAGATGTTCTATATGAATAGTCACCAAGAAAATGGCTTTTGGTAATGGCAGCGAGGAAGGGATGCATAGGGTGCTGAGAACTCTTTAATGACTACTAATAATCCCCTTTTTCTATCACAACAGACCCAAGAAGTTACGATTCCACCCAAAGCAGCTGTACTTCTCTGCCAGGCAAGGGGAGCTCCAAAAGGTCCTGCTTATGTTAGGTAAGTGGATCTTTTCTAGAATGGTACTAGTTTGGCTGTCCTCCCAGTTCCTGCTAGTCTGTTGCAAAAGTCCAGACTTGAATTTGAACCGGGCATGGTTTTATACAGAGTCCCAGAGTCCTATGCCCACAGATATCCTCTGTGTCATTTTCTAGTCTGGCAAAATTTGCCTATCTGCATGTTGGGTATTCACATAAGGTGCTGACAGATGGGGGGGCGGAGGGGAGCACTTTACTGGAAGCAGCAGTGTGTTACTTCGACTCGGCTCCGCAGCATCTGTATAGATCGATTGCTTCGGTGGGGCTTTTTGGCACTTTTAGCTAAAACTGATTCAATCAACTGTTAGATAAAAGCGCCAAAAAAGCCCCACTAAAGCACCTGATCTACACAGACACTGGGAAAGCCAGATGCAACTAACGTGCTGTCTCTTGTGGACATACACTTGGCTTGGCGTGGGAATGCGCCGAGTTTAAATAAAGCATCAGCTTGTTTTTTTTTCCCCCATGTCTGCAAGCAGCTATGCTGTACAGAGGGTGTTTAATTAGGATGGTAAGTGGGTTTGCAAAGAGAGGAAGTTCTTCCAAGCATGAAGCATTATTGCAGGGGGGGGCTCAGTAATATGCAACCAGAGGATAATTTTGAGCTACTGATCTTGCTTTTATCACTGATCACATGAGAAGGTATGCTCTTTTATATTTTTTTTTTTTTCAGGGACATTGTCAACAATTTTTCCTACAAATCTTTTTCTTTCCTCTCCAGTAGTGTGTAATATGTTCTTGCTAGTCTTTGAGGCTTTTCAGTGACTAAACATCTTTGCCTTTCTGGCAAGTATTAACTTCATTGTCTGCATCTTCAATACCACTAAAATTTGCTGCACGAGTATTTTATTTAACTGCAGCTTCATCCTATATAACATGTTATTATGCCCAGACATCTTTGCCGGTGCGCCATCCTCAACTGTCAGTTTCCGCACAGCTGTGAGAACCCTTGGCCAGATCTAAGGTCGTGGTAGTTGAAGTAGCTCCGTTAACTTCAGTGCAGCCTTCTTTTTGCAGAAACAGAGATGAAGGACCAGTGATCCAAAAATTATTTGCTGATAGAATGAGATGGTGATGTGGAGTTTTTCCTTCCTCTTTCCAGCTTCTATATTGCATTAATAGAAGCCACAATTAGATTTAAATAACTTTCCTCTTCACTTTTCCCTGTCAACAATTGTCTTTGCTGCCATCGGGATGTGGAGAAAGTGACTGGTGTAATTTAAAAAAAAATCTGAAGAAAGGTATTCACAAAACAATTTCTCATTTAATAGTTAGCTCATACCATGTTTGAGAAGACCCTGTCCTTGAAATAGCCACTTGTAATACCTTTGTGATTTGTAACAATGTGGACTTTTGAGTTGGGAACTTTGTAACAAGTGTAATAAATAAGTTAAAGGCAATTTAGATGCTGCCCCCAAAATATTCAGTTATCTCCCCTATAAGCTTGTTTTAGTGATGGTTTCCTATTATGCTGTCAGAAATCTTTGTATTCCAACTGGACCAAGTCTCTCTTTGTTTTTCAGTGGATGGAATTGACCCCAACTTTAAGATGGAGCATCAGAATAAAAGAACCCCTCTCCATGCAGCCGCAGAGTCTGGACACGTAGACATCTGCCACATGCTGATTCAGGTTCATCTCCTCTTATGTTCTCCAAACCAAGAAGTTTCTTTCTGTGCCTTGTTCTCCTTTCTTCAAAACTGAAAAACATTTGGGAATTTGTTTTTCGAACTCTCCTAAAAACCTCTTAAAAATCAGGATTTCAGTTTCTTTTGCATTGCAGATGTCCTGCAGATGAAAGGTTTAGTCTGTTTCTGGGCTATTGTGTCTGAACTAACAAGTCCAAGAACAAAGTTTGTCTTTCTGGAATAATAAGGATAGAGAGTCTTTTCTCTCTTAAATTATACAGATGATGTCCAAAAAGCAGCTGTGAATGCTACAGCAGCACAAAATATGCAACTGTCGAGTACCACGTGCTCAACAGTTCCTTTGTGAGCATGGAAGAGAGTGGCTAATGAGACTCTCTGAAGAAGAGATCAGTTTTGACCTCTCCTTTCCCCAATTCATCTTTATGCAAATGAATGTTCTTTCTGTGGATGACCTGGTTGTAAATCTATATTTCCTCCCACTTCCTATACTGAACACTAATAATAATAATTGTTTTTCTATTTGCCTTGGCCACTTAACAGGCTGGTGCTAACATAGACACCTGCTCAGAAGATCAGAGGACCCCACTGATGGAAGCAGCAGAAAATAACCATCTGGAGACTGTGAAATACCTTATCAAGGCTGGAGCACTGGTAGATCCTAAGGTAGTGAGCAGTTCCTTATTTGGTTCTCCTTGAGAAGCCTTGGTGAGCCTCCCTTTCCTTTCTTGATGGGAGGCCAAGTCTGGATGCCAGAGTCCAGTTCAGAGGAAAAGGGAGCCTCTTTCATTAGTGTATACACATTTGTGAAGGGGCTGATGGGTAATATCATTTTTTTTAAATGATTTAATACTACCTAGATTTTTAGCTCTCTGGGGCAAAGCCTTTCTTTTACTATGTATGTATGTGTACAATGTCTAGTACAGTGGGGATCTGATCCCTGTCTGAAGCCTCCAGTTGCTTCTGTAATAAAACTAATTAATAACAGTGGGTTCTGAACAGCATGAGTGCAGGGAAATGATTTCAAGGGTTTTATTTTTTCTACCTCTGTGTACTCCATTACCTCAGAACTAGGCTTTTGGGGGAACATTTCTTTTAAAAGGCCTTTAATTAGGCACCTGTAAATCCACTGAATTGAAAGAGGGGAGAATTTAGATGTCCAAGTATTTGACATGCAACTGGTTGCAGGGCCTCTGCAGGGGCAAACCCAGAGGCAGTTTAAAAAATATTGCCCTCTAATTTAAACCAATACGATAAAAAAAAAAAAATGGCTGGCTGTTTGCCCACAACCTGGTCTGGCTGTATTGTACTCTTGGAAAATACACGGATCATTTATTAGTCTCATAAATCAGATGCCATTTGGAGCTCAGGAGCCCCCCCCTGCTACGAACTTCATATAGTTACAACCTGCTCCCTTTGGCATGCTCTTCAAGATATTGCTAAGGAAAGGAGCAGTGGAACAGTGATGCTCTGCACATGAAAGAGCTGGTCTGCGCCTGTGAAATTATCTTGCTGGCAAACACCTAGGTACCAAATGCAGACTGGTGTTAGGCCTTTGACAATTCCCCAGGATCCCTGTTCCCCAGGATCCCTGTTCATGGAGGAGCATGGGGGTTACAACTACCTGGTGTCAAGAGCAAAATCCAAGTGTCTTGTTTGATATGTTAAAGGTAGGGTACCAAGAGATTTTTTTTCCTTTTTGTGAAGGTGAGGGAGAATAAACATGAACTAGCACAAGCAAATTAGTACTGTTAGAACCACAAGGCCATTATTGAAATAAAATAACTGGAAATCTAGACTGGTTTATTATTTTAATTAGCTTCTTGTAACAAATTAGTCATCTTTGAAAGGAGCAGCAATGCACTAATAAATCAATTGGGGTGGTTTTGCTGAGAGACATAAAGATTAACTGCTGCATGCCTGCTTTTCCTCCTTGCTGGGGTAGGAGGATGATCTGACAAGATGGGGCGTGGGGAAAATTGTGAATTTCACTAATTGGGTCTGTGTCTACGACCGTTATGGGGAAAAGTTGCTGATCTTGTTAGTGTGATAGGTTAGGAGCCTAAACCTGGTTAAGTAAATGAGAGTTGAAATTACCTCCTGTCTCTGGAGCGTTGAGAAGCCGCAGTTACTCCATGAGAGCCTTGCCAAAGGAGTGCTGTGCTATTGGATGCTTGTGTCAGGCATTTTAAAGAGAGAGCAGAAACATCCTCTGCCCCAGTCATCCCCTTACAGTGTTATTTATCTCTCTTCTGAAACTTCAGGCCCCTATGTGATTTAGATCATACCATCTACTAGGCATAGATGCTGTCTATGCTCAAGACCTATGTGGGGTATGGCCTGCATCCCCTGACATGGAAGAGGTGTCTTTTGTGTTTTATGTGGAGCTCACTTGAAGACATAGCTTGGTTCTTCAGATTTTGTAATTTGCTTTCAGCCCTTTGGGGATTTCTGTGTTAAGTGTGTGTGAGGTAAGTTTGGATTTATCAGACCACGGCTGATTCCTGAAGTTACGCTGTGCATCTCCCAATGACACTCAGGCCCCCAACCTTTCCATTATGTTGAACATGTATTTTAAACCTGCCAGCAACCTCTTCTCTTAGGCAAGTGTAATCTGCAGTTCTGCTCAGCCTTCCAGGCCCTTATGTGAGCCCTCATGTCTTGGGCATCCATAACAATACTGCCCTGCTATGATGTACTGGCCAGCTTTATTTGAATAGCTACTGGTGTTAAAGAAAGTAAATGTAGACAGTCTTACATGTACGGACAAGACGGGCCAGACTCTTGAGGTAAGGCACAGTCCTCACAACATTACCAAGATGCCTGATGGGCAGAGATGCAGCACCTGGGGAGAGTTGGAGAATTCCAGACTCCAGCGTGATGAGCAGTAGGGATGGCCCTTTGAAGGTGGAAATGCCATCAGCAGTATGGGGAAGTGGGAGCTGCTAAGTGTCGACTCTCTGCAAAGCTATCCAGGTCCCCATTTCTGTTCCTCTTTCCTCCTGCATCTGTGCTCTTCAGTGGTTGTCCTTTGGGCTTCATTTAACAGCTCTTTGTTCTCTCACTCCTGAGCAATGGCTGTGGCTATCCTCTCACTTGATAGCCACAGTGTGCAATATCAAGACTTTTAGTTGGGAAGCAATTTTCCCTGAGTTGTTCTATGTTTGTTTGTTTTTCAGGATGCAGAAGGGTCCACGTGTCTGCACTTGGCTGCCAAGAAAGGGCATTATGATGTCGTTCAGTACCTTCTCTCCAACGGGCAAATGGATGTCAACTGCCAGGTAAGGCTCTTCTGGAAGGGGCATGAGTAAGATGGGTTGTTTTCCCTTAATCAGGAACTTCTTTCCTTGGGGCCCAATGTGTTAACTGCAGTGTAAATACTCATGCACTCAATTTAAGGCACCATAAAATGGCAAACCAGCCATAAAACTATTCCATATGTAATGTGTGCTGTTTTTGGCTGGTTTGTGTGGCACCTTAAATTGAACATGTGTCTGGGCTGACAATTAGCCTGTTTTTGGCTCAGTCTGGTAACTGGACCCAGGTCTGGAACTGGCCCCAATGTGGTCTCTGGTCTGAGCCAGAAATCGACTGATTGTTGGCACCAGCCCCAGACCTGTGGGCACCCAGCTTTCAACTTACCAGTGTAAGGGCAAGGGAGATTATGATCCTGGGCTCCCCCTGCACTGGCAGATAGGGTGTGCTTAGGATCTGATTCCCGATCCCAAAATCATACCTCTTGCCATGCAGGTGTGGTACATTTAAATGAATGTCTGCCAGGGGCCTTAGAATCACAGCAGTTATGCAAATACATGCTCCTGCAGGCAGGAGGATTTAGAGGAGCAAAGTTGCTTGGATAAGTGGGCCACAATCCATTTGCTGTTTAAATATCATTTTGCAGCTTATAAGGCCCGTACAGGGAGACCGTACTTCTCTCTCCCTAGCTGAAAGCTTCTAAACAGCCAGGCTATCTCATCAACAAGCTGTCTCCTGTAGTGCTTTCTGCCTTTTCTGACTGATTCCTCTGATTCACTGCTTTCTGTAGGCCCACTTCATCCCCAGCCATGAGGCCCTTTTTCCCAAGGATCCCATGAGCAAGGCCTTCATCTTCCCTTGCAGATGAATCATTATCTCACTTCCCAGCAGCAGAACTACTGGGGGAGTTCACCTGTGGCCTAAAGTAACTTTTCTGGGAAGGGAGGATAGGCACTCAGCAGCCAAGCCATGTTAAATGGAGCATCCATCAATAAGAAGTGAGACAGCACTGCATTAGATACAAGAACTCTGGCTGGTAGCCTGGTCTTGCCTGCCTGATGGGCCTTCAGTCAATGTATTTGAGGTGCTGTCTTGACCTGCGAGCCCTGATGCTGCAATCTGAGCTGCACTGGCAGGCCCTTACTCCCACTAGGAGCCTCTGACCAATGTGTGGAGCTGCACAGGAATGCAAAAATCAATCCAGGTGGATAGGTTGGAAACGCACTGTGCTGTACATGCAGCACAGTAGGACGCCCTTCCCAGCAATGTGCATTTAAGTGGCAGTGCGAGCCAGTCCAGTGGCTTCCTTAGTGATGGGACATCTCTCATGGGTGCTGCAGGGCTAGGAGAAAGTAATGTAGACACAGCCTTGCCTATTCTGTGTGCCTCATGCTTTCTTTTTCCACTCCCCAGGATGATGGAGGCTGGACGCCAATGATTTGGGCCACCGAATACAAGCACATTGAGCTGGTGAAGCTGTTATTAGCCAAGGGGTCGGACATTAACATTCGAGACAACGTAAGGCACTTACTGGAGTTTGTTTATTTAGTAACCCTCCCCACAATTCACAAAGCAGATTCCAGACCCCTGGAAAATACAGTGAGGAGCTGTGGCCTTGGGAGGCAGTGCAGTATGGGGGGAAATGGCTGGTGAGGGTTTGCTAAGAGAGCTCCCCCTTTGTTTGTATTTAGGTGGAACTGTGCAGGAGTTGGAGGGCTCTCTGCCCCATGTATTTCCTGTAACAGTATGGAAGAGTCCTGTACCTAATGTGGGCATATCTGTTGCCTTATGTGTAGAAGGAAGCACTACGCTGAAAAGGTCTTGCAGGTGTGAGCCTACGTAAAGGAAGACAAATTCCAGGCTCTGGAGAATTGCACCTTCTGTGTGCTTGGCTGTCGGAGATGCTGAGCCCCTCTGACTTCAAGGGAAAGGCCACACAGTACCTCTAGGGATCAGGCCGTAAGAGCCCAATTCTGCAAACTCTTAATTATATGAGTGATTACAAATGGGACCACTTGCCTGTATAGGGGCTAATTCCTTGATCACACTTACTGCTAGAGAAGATATGTCATGGGTACTAATGAGGGACATAGGAGAAAGGAGAGAGAGCATCTAGTCCTCCTCTGAGGAGAGGAGGGGACACTATCTATGACACTAAGATGTGGGGGGAAGTGGGTACGCTAGTAGGAAGGAACAGGCTGCAAGCAGATCTAGACAGGTTACAGGGGCGGGCCGAAGAGAACAGGATGGGGTTCAACACTGACAAGTGCAGGGTAATGCACCTGGGGAGGAAGAACCAGCGGCATACCTACAGGCTGGAGAACTCCCTTCTCACCAGCGTTGAGACAGAAAAGGATCTTGGAGTCATCATTGATGCCACAATGAACATGGGCCGACGGTGTGGGGACGCGGTCAGGAAGGCTGACCATACCTTGTCGTGCATCCACAGATGCATCACGAGCAGATCCAAGGAGGTGATCCTCCCCCTCTACGCGACACTGGCCAGTCCGCAGCTGGAGTACTGCGTCCAGTTCTGGGCACCGAACTTCAGGAGGGATGTGGCTAATATGGAGAGGGTCCAAAGGAGGGCCACCCGCATGATCAGGGGTCAGCAGGGCAGGCCCTACGAGGAGAGGCTGAGGGACCTGAACCTGTTCAGCCTCCACAAGAGAAGACTGAGAGGGGATCTAGTGGCAGTCTACAAACTAGTCAAGGGGGACCAGCAGGCATTGGGAGAATCCCTGTTCCCCCGAGCAATCCCGGGAGTTACAAGAAACAACGGACACAAGCTAGTGGAGGGTAGTTTCAGGCTAGACATTAGGAAGCGCTATTTCACTGTCAGGGCGGCTAGGACCTGGAACCAACTTCCAAAAGAAGTGGTGCTGGCTCCTACCCTGGGGGTCTTTAAAAGGAGGCTGGACGAAAATCTGGTCGGGGTCATTTGACCCCTGTACTCTTTCCTGCCATGATAGGGGGTCGGACTGGATGATCTCCTCAGGTCCCTTCCGACCCTACCAACTATGAAACTATGAGAGGCAACAGCCCTACCACCACTGCTATTTCTGGTAGCATGTCTCCCATTTTCCCTCTTTCCTAAGGTCTTCTGAGTCCCATGGATGTAAGAAGCCATTTCCTGTTCATCTCCCCAGATGCTTCTTTCTGTGTCTGTCAGATGCTGGCAGGGATAGATGTTGGCACATTTACCTCACTGTGCTCAGATTGCCTCCAGCTGTTCTCTGCCTGAAAACCCTCCTCTGTTGGACCCTCCATTTATTTGGTAGCTGAACTTATTCTCCAAACAGGTGTTGGTCTGACAACAAATGAGTGCAAGAGTCAAAGTAAGAGGGGGCTTTCCAGATTATTGCGATTAACTTCATAGGCATAATACCAGCTATGAACAAAATGATCCTTTGTTTGATCTGTGTTAAAAGCCTCCAGCTACCAGTCTCCCCATGATCACTTATTAAACTAGCGGTGAAAATAATATTAGTCTATCCAACAGTTTTTTTGCAGGGCAGCTGCTTGGCGCACATATTAGTTTGCCCACAATTCCAGCATTTGCTGGTGTGTAGTTACTTAAGAGCCAGATCCAGCTTACTCGTACTGAATAGCTTGAGAAGGACTGCTGATTTTAATGAGGCCACTGCAGGAGTAAGTTGCTATTCTGTGAGAGTAAACGGGGCAGGATTTAGGTGGATGTTGGTACATTGTTTTTTGTAGCCTGATAAGCAGTAGGTGCCCTGGTGTTATTTGCTGTATCAATCTTCTTAATCTTCAGAACTGTGTGGGGTGTTGCCACTTATTTCTACAAGTCAGGGAGTTGAAGGTACGTGTGGAATGTCCCCCTGCACCTGAGCATCTTTTTTTTCTAAAGTGTAGATGAATTTACAGAAGCTAGAAGGTAGGAGGTGTTTGCTGTCTATGAAAAACACCATGTTAAATAGTAATCATCATCATGTTATCATAATCAGCATCTTTAGTTCTTGTCATGCCAAAGAATTCCAAGGTGTGCTATAAATTACATAGTAACGAAAATAGGTATTTTAAAGTGATGATCCTATTCAAAAAAGAATACTGTTTAGATATTTCTAGTGATTCGGTGAGAGATGATGAGCATATACAGTAGTTAAGAGATACCTGAATTGAGACAGTTTGCTCTCTCTCTCTCTCTCTCTGGCCAGTGACTTGCTTTCCAGCACCTTCTTACTCCAGAGAATGTGATCTGCTTGTTCCCACTGGGCTCTTTCTCTTTTGATGCTGTAGCTTTGGGATACATGCTAGTTTTGCTACATGTCTGGCTTGGATGGCTCAGCTTCCAGCCCCTGCCAGTGTTCGTTGGTGTCTGTCACCTCTCCCTGTGGATTGATTCAGATCACTCTGTGGCTTAGAGACAAATGACTCATCTGTACATGCAAGGAAAGTGATGCAAGAGTTTGTGTGCAGCCTCCCCATCTGCAGTAAGCGTGGAGGTGGTTGTGGTGAGAGCTCCCTGCGTGTCTCTGCAGAGAGTTCCCTGCTTGTCTGTAGTAGGGTGGTGTTCTCCAAGCTAAAATGAGAAATCCCATGAAAGGAGAAGTTAGGCCACATGTTAGAGGCCAGAAATGCAGAGCTAAGGATGGTGAAGTCCCAAAGGCACTAAGCAGCCTCTCCTGTGTTTTTCCCCTCCAGGAGGAGAATATTTGTTTGCACTGGGCAGCTTTCTCCGGCTGTGTTGACATAGCAGAAATACTGCTGGCTGCTAAGTGTGATTTACATGCAGTAAACATTCATGGAGACTCACCACTGCACATTGCAGCCAGGGAGAACCGTTATGAGTGCGTTGTGTAAGTATAGCTCCTGCCTGCTCTGCCTCCTTTACTACTTGTTCCCTTCTCTGTTGAACCCTGAATGGGAAGTTAAGAAATGCTTTCCTCTTTGAAAGTAAAACAAAAGGGGGATTCACCAGTGCTGTGCACCTGAGCAAGGTAGTGTAAAATGTATGGGTCTGCTGCCCACATACACTGAGGGCATGCTATGCCACTCCGGTAACATAAAGAGTTTGGAATTTGGATGTACGTTTACCATGCATCCATTCTAAGGCATCTTTCAGCTGGCAGGGAACCACATCCTCATGTCCAATGTGGTAGCACTTTGCAGGCACTTTGCACAGGTGTCAATGACAGCACAAGGGACATGGCAGGGGGAAACAGGCCCTTTTCTGCAGCCAGGCAATTAGAGCATGTGATAGCTCCTAGCAGTGAACCCATTTGTGGAGAGCAGTGCCATACCTTTTTAAAATGGTTGCAGGGAAGTCCTGATTGCATGCTACAATCCAGGTAAGAGGGAGAGAGCGCATGTGGCATCCCTGAGGTGAAATTCGCTCCAGTGCAGCACGGGATCTGTCTCAGTCTAAACTCTGTTTATACTCTCAAAATAGGACTGAAATGGTGCATAGACCTCCTGCTGGGTCCTCTGCATTAGCATGTGGAACATCCCAGAGCAAAGCTGGTCTGTGTCTAATGCATCGTCACTAGAAATGGGCACCAGCCTTATGGAGGTTTTAAATTGGTCACTGTCGTTAGTGAATTCAGTAGGTACGGCCATAAGGAACTGAGAAGTACAAATTAGAGCCCAGAATAAATCTGATTTACCTGCCCTTGTCTCTACCACTCCTGAGCTGTGGTTCCAATCCTGTACTTCATGGGCCAAGAGGGTTTTATGTCCACTTGAATCTAGGCTTGTTACCAGCAAACTCCTCTTCATGGGGCAGGGTGTGGGCCCAGGTCTCTGGCACATTAGCCTGCCAGTTCTAACCTACTGGCCTGCCCACTTTCTAGTTAACCTCTCTAAGTATTGTTCAGCAAACCTGCTTGTAGAAATGAAATTAAGGTCATTGCTTGCTTCTGTGGATTCTTCATCATAAGAATGGTCCTGCTAAGATTACCTCGAGGAGCATCTCTACAATGTCTGGTGCTTCCTTTTCTAATGAGCTGTTTCTGGGATTGCATCTTTTGTTGCTGTTTTGCAGCCTCTTTCTGTCCCGTGGCTCAGATGTCACCCTGAAGAACAAGGAGGGTGAAACTCCACTCCAGTGTTCAAGTCTCAACTCTCAGGTGTGGGTGGCTCTACAGATGAACAAGACCCTCAAAGATTCATCTTCTGACAAACCTGCCCAGATAGAGAAAGTAGTGAGCAGGTGAGAGTTCAGTTCATTACTCCAAGACTGAGGACTGAAGCCTTGATTTCAACTCATTTGGCTTTTTAAACTTGTGCTGAAGTTGAATGGAGCTCAGGGAGAATTAAGCACATGCTGATCAGGACTGCAGTTCATGCACTTATTCACATGGAACTATCCTCAAGCAAGAAATAATTCATGAGTCCAAGTGGGAAGAAACAGATTTGGGATCAAACCAAGTACCTTTCAAGCAAAAATACTTGAAGATCAAAGGCAGGGCTTTTCTCCCTAGGATGCTACTCAAGTTGCATAAGAAAGTTCTTTATTAGTTGTCACCTCATTTTTGGAAGTCTGGATATTTGTATATTAGATCATTCTGTGTCTTTTCTTTCCCTTTCTGACAGAGACATTGCCCGGGGTTACGAGCGGATTCCTATTCCATGTGTCAATTCAGTGGACAATGAGCCTTGTCCCAGCAACTACAAATACGTTTCCCAGAACTGCGTGACCTCTCCAATGAACATTGATAGAAACATCACCCATTTGCAGGTTTGATGTACTCCAGCATGTCTTCTCTCCTGTCCCAGTGTGGAATGTGGTTTTAGAAGTTACCATTCCCTCAGAAATGCAAAAATCTAGAACTCGTGGTTCAGAGATGATATCTTTTATTAGATCAACTGATAAATTGCCCAATCTTTTTCTGCAAGCTTTCGGGCTCACACACCCTTCATCAGGCTCAGGGAAAGTTAAAATGGTAAAAAAAAAAAAAAGTCCCCATATGTAGGAAATAAACTTCATTTTTGCACAGAAGAAGCTGAAGCTGGAAATCTGTCCTCTGGGTCCATGAGAGTGTCTTGGTGAGGTGCTCTTGGTGTGCAGATCAAGCAGGATTCCTTCCCGGTTGGTATCAGATGGCAAGCAGGGAGGAGTATAAATGAAGTTTATAATCCAATGTTCCCTAGGTGGTTTCAGAGGATAGTGTGTATGCTGCTGAGAGAGTGCCTGGGAGAGAAGGTGGCATGTGTCTGGGTGAGGTCCAGTGATAACAAGCAAACATTGTGGCGCCATTTGATTGCTGGCTTCTATCCCAGTGACAAACTTGTTCTGTCCACCAATATCTTCGTGACGGCAGGGCAGAAATTTCCCTGCCCTTTTCTAGGATTTGAGAGAACATTTTGTTTCATGGCCATTTTCATGCCAAGTTCAGAGGGAGTTGTGATGCTGCAGGTGCCAGTTTAGGGATGAGTGAGAACCTGGTCCACTATCCTGATTAAATTCTAGCTCAGGCACTGGAACTCTGATTCCCTCGGTTTCTTTAGCTGTTTCTTAGATGGAAGGTTGTGTTTTACTTCCCTTCCCAAACAATATGCTGCTTTTTATGTTGGATTTCACCAAAGAGTGTTGCATTTCAGTGATGGTTGATGTGGTTCCCTTGTACCCCATACATACCTCCTGTTGACGTTCGGGAACTTGACTGATTGATTGTAGGTCTTCAGATGAGCAAAAACACATTTTGCAATAGTATAATTAATACAATTGGATGTGGTGGTCTTTGTTGTGTTTCAAAATTCACATGAGGGCAGTGTGCTGAGCTATCATTAGTAGCAGTCAGGTGTTCATGACCTCCTGGAACTGATTTATTGCCATTCATTGCATCTTGGAACGAAGCCATGGGCGCACACACACTCCAGTTGGTACAAACATAGCAGCCAGTTTGCTTAGCAGCATAAGTTACCACAGCCACTATGTGCCCACTTTCCAACTGGCACCACTGTTCCCCAGTGAATACTAAATCCCTACAATAGACTGGTACTGAGTAACTGGGACATTGCCCCACCATCTGTGATCCAGACTTCCCAAGATAGTTGCACTTTACTGGAGTGGTGACCCTGCTAGCCAATGAATTGGATCATGAGTACAGGAAAGACTTTCACAGAAGCTGGAGCAATCCTGTGGACCTGACTCTCGTGAGACATCATAAGAATGGATATACAATTTTGAGAACTAAACACAATACTCCTTGTTTTGATCTAGGTAAAATTGCATATGCCCTAGGGCTGTGTGAAACGGCACCGTTCTGTTTCGACTTGCGTTTTGACGGAACAGTGTTTCATTTTGAGTTTCATTTTGATTCGAAACCGCTGTTCTGTTTCGTTTAGTCGAATTCGCTGTTTCGACGCTGTGTCAACGTTTCGCCCATAGGCTATAATGGGGAAGCTCAAAACAGCCTATAATTTTGTCATTTGTGGCCTGATTTGGGTGAACCTTGCAGGAATGGTAGCCCCTTCTGAGGGCATGAAGTCTGCCAAGTTTCAGGGAGGTAGGTTTAGGGGCTTCAGGGAAACTGCACCTCAAAGTCTTGAAAGCAAAACTCACGTCACGTGTATGTGTTAAGCTACAGCGGGGTCAAAACTGCAGGCATACTCTAGCCCCTGCTGAGGCCACAAAGCCTGCCAAGTTTCAAGGAGATAGATGCAGGGGTTTGGGGGGAAACTGCAGCTCAAGCTGTGGACAAGCAAAACTCGTGACATGGATAACACTGTGTGTGTTAAGGCGCAGCGGGGTGAAAGCTGCAGGCCTGCTAGCCCCTGCGGTGGCCACGAAGCCTGCCAGCTGTCAAGGAGATCGGTGCAGGGCTTCTGGGTTCTGGGGCCCTGCACCTCTAGCTGCTGACAGGCAAAACTTGTGACATGGGTGGGTGACTGTGTGTGTGTGTGTGTGTGTGTGTTCAACTGACGCCAAGGCAGAAAGCAGGGCAGTTCAAACAATGCTGCCTTTTATGCAGTTTTTCCATCCCTCCCCCAGAGCACTGGGATTGGAAGAGACCAGAGGAAAGGATGACAGTCACTGGCCAGCTACACAGTCAATAATGAGAGCGCTCCTTCCCCCCTCTTCCCCCTCCCTCTCCTTACTTTAGTTTCTGTTTCCCTGCAGACAAGCCCAGCTCGAGCTTCGAAACTTGAAACATTTCGAAATGTTGACCAAATTTTAGAAACATTTCGACTTGCCCCGTTCCGTTTTGAGGCTGTTTCAAAACTCTCTGTTTCGTTTCAGTTTCGCTGTTTCAAGTTCAAAACAAGTCAAAACAGCATCGAAACGAAACTGCCGGCGAAATTTCGCACAGCCCTAATATGCCCCGCCCCACTCCACAATTGGCATATAAGTAAAAATCCTCGAAACCAATGAGGCTGATTCTCCTGGAGGGAGGGAAATTCCTGTTTTTAAATCCTTGGAAGGCACTCTGGTTCTAGGTGACTGTACTGGTGATCAGTAAATAACCAAGTCTGCAGTTTGTTTCCTATCTGGCTCTTTAAAATAAGTTACTCTTTCAGTTGTGCTTGCCTGAATTTGATCTGTCTTTTTCTCTTCCAGTACTGTGTGTGCATAGATGACTGCTCCTCCAGTAACTGCATGTGTGGTCAACTCAGTATGCGCTGCTGGTATGATAAGGTGAGGGCTCTGCCATTGTTAGAATAGGCTGACAAGCTCTGAATTTTGCCAAATCCAGTTTGCTTAAAAATATCTGAGATTTTTCTAAACTTTATTTTATAAGATTGAAGTCTAGGCTTCCAAATATATATATGGCAAATCACAAAACAAACTCAAGACATGGTCATGTCACTTGCATGCCAGTTGAGCCATTAATTAAACCCATGTGATACACGGTGTTTAACAATCTATGCCCAAAATAAAGGCCCCATGGTAGGAAACCGAGTGAGCTGTTCAGTCCTTGAGTGGCTCTGTAATTTATAAATGTGGGGGAGGTGATAGTAATGCTTTTCTTGTCTTTTATTTATTGTGATTTTCTGCCTATGGAGGCAGAAAAATATATTTTAATTACAGCATTGCTTGATGCCTCATGTGTTCTTGTATGTATGCCTGAATCCTCCAGGGAGGTTTTGAGGTTAATCCCTGGGCAGGTTCTACTAAGATCAGATGTTCCCTGAATCTCTGTGGGCCTCTCCCCTGGGAACATTGCTATCTTCTCGCTCTGCCGTGTATTCATTTTAATAGTGCATTAACAGGATTTGCATTCTGAAATGGCTTCACTGAATGCATCCTTCAAACAATTATGGCCAAATTTGTTAAATATGGTGTACTGTGCGACTGTTACTTTATTATTCCCATGCAATTAGTGGATACTTGAATGTTAACTTTTCTTTATGGGCTCCTAATGGGAAGAAATGCGGCCTACTGGATAGTGCACTGACCTTCAAGCCTATTTTATTCTAGGCTCTGCTAAAGCCTTTCTGTGTTTTTCCTTCTTTTCCTAGTTGCAAAACAAGAATAATGTTGCACGCCCATTTGGCAAAGTGGTTTGAGATCTACAGGTGGCTTGTACTGCATGCATGTGAAATATTGCTTGTTTTAACAACTTTTATATAAATGCTGCAGTTCAGAGTAGGAAGAGGTTCAGTCAGACCAGCTATGAATTCTCTCAAATTCTGGGAGAGTCAGAGGCATGAATCTGAGCTTGCTTACTGCTCTGTCTTAAACAAGGGAAATTCAGTTCTGGATTTGCAGTTTCCATTACCAGCCTAATCTCTGATTCCAAAGCAATTTAAGGATACATAATTAATCCACTCTTTGAATGCATCTCCTCTTCAGGATGGCCGACTCCTACCCGAATTCAACATGGCTGAGCCACCTCTGATCTTTGAGTGTAATCATGCTTGCTCGTGTTGGCGAACCTGCCGGAATCGGGTGGTGCAGAATGGGCTCAGGTGAGAGGGAAGGCTTCTGGCTTGGACTGCTAATAAAAGAAAAAAAAAAAAAGCTTCCTGACGTTCTGGGCTCAGCCTGTCTGCAAACTCACAAAGCAGAGATTTCCAAAGAGGAGGGAGAAAGGTCATGGTTGGATTGCCATCAAAACAGAGTAAGCCTCTATTCTGCTGGTGAGAAGCAAGCAACAGCAGGATTGTGAGATCAACTGGTATTCCTGTCCTGCACCTGGCTTTGTCACTGGGAATCCCCAGCGTTGTTCAGACAACCTGACTGCGTTAAATTTGTTAGCTTCTTGGTTTTCCTTTAGGGAAAAAGAGGTACTAATTTCACTGACAACTCAATTGTAGTTAAGCTCCATAAAGAAAGGAGAATAAAAATCAGAACCCCCCCCACCCTGTAGTTCATTATACTGAATAAAATGTATAAGTTAGTGGTTCATAACTGAAATACAGGCCAGAATTTACAGACTTGGCTTCCTACGGTTCTGTATAATTAGTCTGATTTTTATTTTAGGGCTGTTTAGCACCAGTTGAATTCAGTTCCATTTTTATTTTGGTGCAGAAGTATGGTATAAGTGCCTAACTTGAGGCTGCCCATTTGAAAATGTTGACCATCTGATTCAAGTAAGGAACAGCTGCTTTGGAAGCTTATAAATGAAACTGATAGTGTTAGTGGTTTCATTTTATTTGCTTTTCAAAAGAGTGAGAACCTTTTATTTTACCTTGCATTTTTTATAACATTCTGGGGGAAAGAACGTCAGGAAAATGGCAAATCAGTTTGGCCAAAACTTTTCCCTGTGTTCTTCAGCAGGTCTAGTGCATGCATGAGCAGGGTTGTCATAAAGTCTTTCTGTGGAAGGTGGGATAGCTCTGATCCCCAGGAGTGAGATGGAGGAGAAAGGCCCTGTGCATCACCTTGCAATGTCAGATGTTTCTCAAAGCTGTGTCAGAGGCCATCTTACCAGGAGTCAAGGAGGACTTGTGATTTGTCTGCCAAGTGACTGCTTAGAAATGACGCTTGGGTGCTCCTCCTTCATTCTCAATGGTTCCCTTATTAAGTTTGTTCCAAATTAACTTTACACGACACTGCACATGTTTCTGTCTGGCAGACTTACCAGCTCAACATGGTATGTGAAAAATCAAGCCATAGTCCTTCCTTCTCCTGCCCCAGCCCTAACAACAGAGAGTCTGTGATCCAAGCTCAGCTATAGTTGTCTATTTTGCTTGTGATGAATGAAGCAAAGCAGAATGTGGCTTCCTCAGGTCTGAAGCTCAGTGAGACCAGCTTTTCTGAAACTGGTTCTGCTAATGAAACCATATGGGCCTTGCTTCATGCACCTGTAGATGTCTGTAGATATTTAAAGGATACATGGTATGAAGGAGCCAGAGGAGTTATTTTAACATAATACAATGCAAAGCGGGTATCAGAAGCAGTGATGGGTGAAGTTAAGGAAAGGGAAATAGAGGTTGAGCATTGGAATTCTTTTTCTTGTACTGGTAAAAGTCAGTGTGGTTGGATTTTGGCTCCTGAAGGAGATGATGAGGGCTCCCCATTTATAGGACATCTTCAGCATAAGCTTCTCTGGACCGCTCCATTGCTGGCTAGGCAGTAATCAGGTATTCTCTTAGCCAGATTTTATGGGCTGCACCAAATTCCACACAGGGTATGGAACATCTAGTAGTTTTCCAATTACAGGCTTATCTTCGTGCTAGGGATTTGGGTGGAAGTGAGCAGGAATTGCTAAAATTTCCAGTCCTCTGTGGATAGGGCAGGAGTATCCATGTTGTGACCTAGTGTGGTCTTAATATAGTCTCCAGCCTGCCTCTTTTCCTGTTGTGGCTTACTTTTGAGCTATTGTTTTCTGACTTCACCTTTTGTCTAGACAAGGAACAGCTACAAGGAACAAGAATCCTACTAGCTGACAGTCATGTTCCATATTCTCTGTAAATGCCCAGAGGTGTAAAGGGAGATGCTACCTTGGAAAGCATCCAGTCCCACAGCCCCCATCCTCCCAGGCACAAAGCCTAAGCCTCACAGTATGTGGCAAAGAAATTTATGCAGGATCAAGGTTGATGATAGCTGTCGCTTCCCATCTTTTCCATACCCCCTGAGTTTCCACTTGATTTTCCTTCCTTCCACTCATATTAGCAGAGGAAGCATGCAGGCTTGTGATGATCATGGTAGGAAAGGAACTGGGATCACATTTTGCTTAATTTTGATAAACTTAGAAATTGTCTTTTGAAATGTTGGATTTTCCGTTCTTAAATTTGAAATTTCTGTGTCCTTCCCTCACAAGAGCTCCCATCTTCCTGAGAAATGCCACATCTGTTGCCATTAATTGAGGACTCTATTTCCTGTCTTTCAGGACTCGATTACAGCTTTATCGGACACAAAAGATGGGCTGGGGTGTGCGGACAATGCAAGACATTCCATTGGGAACTTTCGTGTGCGAGTAAGTCTGTCAGCTTTGATTAGTTCACATGAGCTCATCAACTCCTGAGCTCTCATGGGGCTGCATGTCGTACATCAGAGTGAGAGTGCTCCTTTTTTAGCGAGGTTTGCATTCAGTTAAAAATGGCTTCACACACAACCATTTATCCCAAATGGGAAATTTACCACTTTCACCGTCTCTTGTCTTTTGCATTTTTAAGCCTTCTGCATCCCATCCCATCCTGTTGGGGTCTTCAGTGAAGTCCATTATTCACCTTGGATTTATGGCCTCATTGTGTCCTCTTGGAACAGTTGTGGTGTTAAAAATTCAACTCTAGCTGCAGTTTAGCAGAATATCTCAGCATATCTCTTATTGAAGTCCCCTGAACTTCAATAAGATTTAAGTACACAATTGCAGCAAATCCAGAATTGGACGGGTCTTATGCGTTTACCGGCTTATGACTTGGTCACAGCCATTACTGGAGTTGGAGCACTGACTGACAGAGAGGCTGGTTTGAGCTCTGAACTCTTTCTTTAGTCACTAGAAAGGGAGGGAGGTGGAGGGAAATGGAAGGATGTGGGAAATGAAAGACTGAGGCTGGAAAATAATCCACTTAATTTGTATGGGAGATGTGTTTAGACTGGAAACTTCACAGCTGGATCTGGAACAGCCTGATGTTGTGAGCAATTAAAGGCCTGTCTGGTCTCACCATTCTTGGTCAGGCCCTTCTGTAGTCATTGTGATACAACAGACAGTTTTCTGTGTTATCAGTTCTGGTTTTGTACCAGGATGTAGGAAAACGGTAAAATCATGTGACCTTAAGCACATACTTAAGTTCTAAATGAGACCAGGGTGCTTTTCTTCACATAAAAGGGGATGTCTTTTTCTTAGTATTTTGTCACAGGTGCTCTGTGATATTGTTGGGCAGAGGCAGGGAATTAATTTTAGGGTTAACTAAAATTACCTGTTTTGCCACCTCTGCATTGCTGCCAAACCTCATTAAGAACCTCAAGAGCTTTGATGATGTTTTCATGGTTCAGGCCCAAAGCCAGGCTATGACTGGAGGGGGTCTTTAAATCCATCTTCAGGCCAGGCTGTTGAATGGAGCTGATAACCATGAAAAGTTCTGTATGCCTAGATGGAGCTTGAAATCCCAGAACTAACCTAATGCCTGGAGAGGAACTCTCTCTAATAAGGAAAAGGGCACTGACTTGTCAAAAATCAACCTAAAGAAATCCCCAGATTAAAAATAAAAGATAGAGTGAATTGACAACAGTTACGTGAAGAATATAATTTTAGACAGGTGAGTGCACAAAGACTGGGAAATTCTAAGTTGCAGTAGAAGAATAATAACAATGATCATGGTGGTATAATTCATGGGACTTCAGAGATGAGCATACTAAGTCGCTTCATGCAACCTTATGTCTGCCCCTTTTTCCTTGCTGACGTCTCATGACATCCTTTTTACAGCACATTCCTCGTTACCAAACTGAGCCGAATATTAATAAACTCTAAGAAAATACATATCAACTTGAATGCACTGCGTGTCACCAGTGCAACCAGAGACCTTCCTTCAATTCTCCTTCTTTTGAGCCAGTTAGCTTCTTACCTTTAACTCTCCATTTGCAAATAGTAGACTTTATTATTGGTACTTCTTGTCTCCCCTGCCTCACCTTACTCTCACCAAAGTGAAGAACCCCTATGTAGGGCTTGTCTAAACAAGGAATGAACTGGAATAGCTTTTTGTGGCATAAGCTACTTCACAGCAGTTCTTCAGGACTGGGTAGACACTTTCTGGTCTAGAACAAAGGTTTCTTTATTCTAGAACAGTTCCTCACTTTGAATTCCTGAATAAAATTTACTTTCATACCAATGTAGCACCATACAATGACTGGTTCTAGAAAAGGTGCTGTAGACTGACGCATTCCCCCAAAGCTGTTCCAGTAATTTTCACAGTGTAGATGAGGCCTTTCTGCACATGAGGCTGCAACAAGTTCCAACTTGGCATTTACCATTTTCTTTTCATAGCTGAGATCAGATCTTAACCACACTCTGCTAAGTACCTTCCTGTGTTTTGTCTTTTCCTCTCCCAAATTTATCATCAGCATTGCATTTTCCCAGCTTTGGAATATTTGTTTATTTTTATTTAAAATGGTTAAAATATTTTAAAATTGCTTTGTGCAAAGAAACCATGTCTCAAGAATCATTTGAAAGCAGAGTTTTTACCTCCAAATGGGAGAATGCCAGAGAATTCATGAAGCCCACTAGGGACAACTCCTGGTGCTATTGATTTGTAAGTGAAATGTGCTTGGACACTATAGTGATGATTGTCAGTATAAAGTCCTGAGATGTAGATAGATGTGTATTCATTTGCCAACAGAAAGCTGTAGAAGATAGGGAGACACTGCCACTCCCTAGCAGTGCATAATATAGGGACCTGATTCTGCCACTTTTACAAAGTGCTACTTAATTCATGTGAGTTTTCCCATTGATTTCTGACCTTGGGAAATCAATGGGACTGCCTGCAAGAATAAGCCTGTGTGAAAATGGAGAAGTGTAGCAGGATTGGGCCCTAGAGGAATATACGCTCTAACCCACAACTTGTGTAAATGAGGGCAGGGGGTGGGGGAGTTGGTCTGTGAATTGCATATTAAATGTCCATCACTAAGCTGAGTGCCTTTCCGTGCAGTATTATTTAGCTATTCTTTAACTGCCTTTTGGTTTTGGCTACCGTGTGACTGATGTAATCTGTCACCATCTCTGGCCATAATCCTCTTTTGGTCACTAATGATTTTGTGATTTCCAGTAATGCTGAAGTCTTACAGGAGCAGTTAATAAATAACGAGATGATACAGTGTGGGCAAGACCATAGAATTCCACACAGAGACAGTGCCCTAGTTTTGATATAGCAGCTTGGTGCCAGACTCTGGAGTCAGGAACTGCATCTGAATGTCCCCTCGGTTACGGAGCTTTTGGTGGCTTTCAGGGTTAATGCTTCAGCCTTTCATCCCCTGAGCCTGAGGTCAAATGGTAGCTTGGGTCACAAGGGGAAATGCATGTGGTTTGTTAATGTTTGTAAAGTGCTTGGAGGCTAAAAATACTGTTATAACTGCTGCTTGTATTACTGTGGAGGACTTTTTCCCCTTAGAGGACATTTAGTTGTACTGCAAACCCATTGCATATTTTTTTTAAATCATGGTAGCAGCTAGAAGTCCTGCTCATGGGTCACTATGAAGTTATCTTCTTGTTCCCTTGTACCCCACTGTCCATCTCCAGCTGTTGTCCCTTGCCTTATACTTAGATTGCAAACTCTTTGGGGCAAAGACTCTTTTTTTGCAAGGTGCCTGAAAAAAGATAACTGATAGAGATGAGAAATTGGGCTCAGGGCACAAGAAAACAGACAGTAGCACCAGGGGATTCTGGGCCATGATTAAGGCACCTAGATACCACTGCAGTACAAATTAATAATAACTGCACAGGCATGGAAGGGAAATTGACTATATCGGAAATCGGCCGGGAGTAGCTGATTATTTGGCCGATAAATGCCTGTGTGCACATGTAGCTCCAGTGCAATGTGCAGGCAGTGAGCAGCACAGCCTGGCAGTGTAGAGAGCTGCCTCCAGCTGGTAAGTCTGGTGTGGTGGAAGGGGAGGGGGAAGGGTGTTGGGGTTGGGGGGAGAGGCAGATCAATGCCCTCTGCTGTGAGGGGAGGGAGTGGGGCTGGGGTATGTGGCTTGTCAGGGGTGGGGAAGCAGTTCCTGCCACTGCGCACCACTCATCCAGGAGCTGCTCATCTGGTGGCTCCCGCCACTCATCTAGGAGGGCGGTGGGGGGGTGGCATGTGCCCCCAGATCTGCGTAGGCCAGGCTGCAGCTGTGGGATTGGGCATCAGGCTGCAGCTGCAGGATGGGGCAGCTGCAGCCTACCTCTGCTCGGGGCATGTGGCAGCAGTGCTGGGAGGGGGCTATGGGGGGGCTACGGCAAAATTTTAAGTGGCTGGTACCTGCCCCCCCTCGTAGGCCTCCTTCCAGTGCCGCCACCGCTTGCCCCAAGTGCAACATGGCCCCCAGCCCACAGCTTCAGCCCAGCCTGCCCCTGCCTGTGCCTTCCTGGACCAGTGGCGGTCACAGATGAGCCATGGCTCCATCCCGCACCTGCCCCGCCCCAGCTGGGCAGTGCCTGCCCCAGGCCCACTCCCTCCCTCACTCAGGAGTTGATCTGCCCCCCCACAAGCTCCTTCCCTCCCCTTTCACCACAACAGACTTACCAGTTGGATGCAGCTGTATCAGAAATTGGAGTGGGGGGAAAAAAAGAGGCTCTGCAAAATACTGAGGGTGCAGATGCACAGCATGGTTACTATAGAGTAACTTGCTTTGGTTTTTACAGGGTGGTAAATTTACTCTGTATTAAGGAGTGGACACATGGCTAGCTTTTTGAAATTGACTACCTGCAGTAGGCGCTATTACAATGCATGGCCACTAGATGGTGAGAAAACCAATTTAAATTGTGCAAGCAGCTCACCCTCCCACCCCCACCCCGGATGAATTTGTCTAGGAGAGCAGACACCATTGTTACATCAGTGTAACTTACACTGGTATACAGTTACTCCTCTCCTTCTCAGGGGTGACTTCACCTTGGAGTCAAGTGACTTATGCCAGCATACGGCTGTATGTCTGGATCCTTCCTGATTTCTGTTGCACCATTTTTATACCAGTGCCGTTCCATGGACTGACTTTATTGGAGCCAGATTGGTTTCTTCTGGTGTGAACAGGAGGATGGTGAGGCTAAGTGTCTTAAATGCACATCCAACATCAAAGTTGTGTTAAGACAAGAGCTTTACTTAACTTGCAGGTCTAATTTGTAAAATGCATCCTGACTTTATGCATATTCCAAAGCAAACAGTTTTGTGTTGGGTTGTAAAGTTCCCTTAAAATATATGCAACCCAGCCATTGCAATAGGTACATGAGGACTAGAAAACAAAGGTGATAGTAAAGACAAACAAAACAGATTAGCCTGTTACTACTTGCTGGCTCAGAGAATTGCAAACGGAAATGGAGTTTGTTGGAGAAAGTAAATTGTTTTTAAATTAAATTCATTATTAATATTCAAAAGCTTTTTCAGTAACATGAGTAAGGGATTTTGGAGGGGGGGGGGTTTGGTTTTTTTTAATGGAGCCAGTCTCAGCTGCTGTGAATCATCATAGTTCTACTAGATGTACCTGTGCTTATCTCCACTAGCCCTATGGCTTTTAATCTGGAAGTGTCCCTTCCCTCTCACTTCTTGTGTATAAGAGGTAAGGTGTTAAAATACAAGCTGGCAGCAGCACAAGCATCTGATTGCTGCATTTCCTGTTTATCCTGCAGGTATGTTGGAGAGCTGATTTCCGATTCAGAGGCAGACGTACGTGAAGAGGACTCCTACCTCTTTGACCTTGACAATAAGGTAGTGTTTTGAAGGGACTCCCTGACAAAGCAAGAGCTGGAGCTTGCTGCTGAAAGGAGTGAAAAGAAAATTTGTCCCCATCTTTTGATGGGCAGAGCAATCTCCAAGCCTGTGAAATGGGAGGCACTTCTCACCTCATAGTAATGGAAAGCTATTCACAACTAGAGTGTGGGCTATATGGCTCAGGGGATTGGTAATGGAGCACAAAAACTGACTGTACTAGGTCACTAGTTTGAATGCAGCCCAGGTTGATAGCCATTGCACGTTATTCCACTCTGAAGCTGTTTGGCCTGTATGAATTAAATTGTCAGTGTATTTCCAATTTCTGGTGTCAGTATAGCAAATCCACCCCTGCAGCCTGCATTGAGCAACAGTCTTCTTAAAGAGCTCACCGGTACAGTAAGGGAGCAGGAAGACTGAAATACCAGCTTACCTGTAAATTACTTTTCAGGCACCTTGGCAGAGCAGTGTGGAACTGCTTATGTGGCTGCTACATGTTGAACACCTGTGCTGTGGGGGCCTGATGTCCCTAGAGCAGTGCCATCAAAGGCTTTAGGTGAAACTATTACATTGACTATCACTGACAAGTGTGCAGAAAACTGATAGAGACTTCAAGTGAATGAGGGGATTCTTCTTAGGGGTCTGTATGTCAGCTGACAATCAGTGCTCTAAGGGGTAGGCCTCTCCAACCGTTTCAGGAGGGTTCACTGAGGAGCCTGGTAATCTCTGCTCTGAACACAGAAAGATAGAGGGACCACCCTCTCATCAACTTCAATTTAATGCCAAGGATCATATGCACTCATATGCAGATCAGCTAGCAAGAAGCATCCTGCATTCCTCAAGGGCCAAGCATGTTGTTCTCTCCCTTTTGTATCTGGGCAACATCTGCCTAGCTGTGCTAGCAATTGGAATAGGGCAATGTGCAACTGCACTAATACAGCACAGTACTGTTGTGGAAAACAGAGTAAAACCGTGCCTGAAGCAGCATGGTTAGTGTGGAGACTCTGTACAATGGGTATTTACACTGATGCTGCTTGATTCAGGTTTCTAGTGTAAACAAATCCTGAAAGATTTTCACATAAAGTTGGAGGCAGCCCGGATGTTTACCTGGCAGATCTCTGTAAGTACGGACACGAAGGTAAGAAGTTCTCTGAGGCAGGATCAGGCAAGGCTCCACAGTGCCGTATGGCTAGAGAAGGTTCTTTTCCTAGAATGCAGGTCTTTCCAAATGCACAAAGGATGGACCTAACATCCCCTTCTCATGAGGGACTGGCTCTGATGTGCACAGATTCTGGAAAAGACTGAATATCTTTACCAGCCTCACAAGCCCCTGGGGAACCACAGAAGCAATTCCAGATGGAAGCTCACAGCGGTGATGTTCCTTCTCAGACGCTCCTCATGTTCCACTTCCTGCTTCACAGCGAGTGTCCTTTGGCAGGAGAAAGGCACTTGGGATTTCAGTTGGAGCCCATGTATGGTACAAAGAGGGGACAGTAGTTGCAGAGGATTACAAGGCACTTAATACTACCAGGGGCCGGGCATCCTGCAAATAATTTTAGGCTCTTCCAGACCGTGGAGTAAGAGAACATATAATAGGAACTGTTTATGTCTAGCTCTCCTGTGTAGAAGCCAGAGAGCTATGTGCCCAACTGGAGCGACTGCTGGCCCTTCTCCCACCCCCAGCTTTTTGGGCAGATGGAGGCTGAGTGGAACTGGTCATGGAAACTGGATGAAAGTCACCTGTGGTTGTGTTAATTATTACTGGGCTAAACAAAAATGTAATCTAGAAGTTTCTGGAGAAGTAGCTGAGATGTCCTCAGGGTTGCATGTTGCTGATGCAAGGTAAACACCATCAGAAAAAATGTCAGGCAGAAAAAAAGGAGCAAGCTGGGCTTTCGCATTGTAGAGCAGCATTTCCTCCTTGCATAGCTCTGTCTGAGGAACTAACCAATCCAAAGGCAAACAGTGCAGTCTGAGGCTGCATGCCTGTTGTAAATCGGCAACAGAAGACAAAGAAATTATTATAGAGTGACTGTAATCCCAAGGATTGTGATGGAGATAACCAACTGGTGTAAATCCCTGCAGTGTGCTCTATGGGGAGAAACTACAATTGTAACAGAAATGCCTGGGAAAGGAGAACCCTAAAGATTGTCTGGTAATAAGCTTGGTTAATCACCTGGGCTGCAGCTGATTTGCTAACAAAGGGCAGAGGAGCTGTAGGCACAAAGGGGAAGTGAATGTGCACAAGTGTGTCCTCAGCCTCTGCCATCTGAGGCTGCTTTGAAACAGCCCGCTAATGGAGCGAGGCAAGTGACTGCTGTTTTTGCAGCCCTTAATGAAGAAGGTAATAAACCTTTTGGAAGCAAGTGGCAACATCCTCTTGCTTTTCCTTAAAATGGAGGCACAGTGTGAGTCTACACCTAAAGATGGAACTCTGTCTGGATCTCAGGGAGTACTGGTGACTCCAGGTATGATGATAGGCATGATTAGAAGAGAAGTTAAGTTGGAAAGGGGTCTAAAGAGGAAGTCATGGGGCCAAGTCCAGCTCTGGTATAAGTAACAGCAGTTTCTTTGGAGTCTGCTAAATGGGAAGCAGGAAGTGGAAGTAATATGTAACCCTGCAGGGTCCTGCTGGTGTGATTGTGGACTGCAAATCCCAGAGACATCAGGAGCAGACAGCACAGCCCAGCCCGAGACTGCAAAGTGTGGTGGGATGCTGGTGGACTCTGATTTAACTTGAGCTAGGAAGGAGTCTGGGACAGGAGTTTCATAAACTGGTTTGACCTAAAGTGGTTAAGTCTGATAGTACATTCAACCAGGTTCATCTTAAACCAGTTTCAGCCATTTTGAAACTGGTTTATGTGCACTGAACGTCTGTTCTGTTACAGGATTAAACGAGTTTCTGATGACTTAAACCAATTTATGTGTAACTTCTGTCCCTTTCCCATGTGTTCATTCTAGCACCACCTGGATAGAGGAAATGAGGTTGATGTCATATACTTGGACTTCAGAAAGGCCTTCAGCCTAGTCTCCTACAATGTCCTCATAGTAAAATTGGGAGAATGCAGCCTTGACTATGGTAGTGGCTAGGTAACTGGCTCCAAGGTAGGACCCAGAAAGTATTAATAGACTGAACTGAGTCAACATCTGAGGGACAGAATCCAGCTAGATCTAGACAGGTTACAGAGGTGGGCAGATGAGAATAGGATGGAATTCAATGCAGACAAGTGCAAGGTGCTGCATCTAGGGAGAAGGAACCTGCAACACACCTATAGGCTGGGGGACACCCTTCTTGTCAACGCGGTGGCAGAAAGGGATCTTGGAGTCCTTGTTGACTCCAGGATGAACATGAGCCACTGGTGTAAGGAAGCAGTCAGTAAGGCTAACCGCACCTTGTCGTGCATCTACAGATGCATCTCAAGCAGGTCCAAGGAGGTGATCCTCCCCCTCTATGCGCCGCTGGTCAGGCTGCAGTTGAAGTACTGCATCCAGTTCTGGGCGCTGCACTTCAAGAGGGATGTGGCTAGCATTGAGAGGGTCCAGAGGAGGGCCACTCGCATGGTCAGGGGGCAGCGGAGCAGGCCCTACGAAGAGAGATTAAAGGGCCTGAACCTATTCAGCCTCCACAAGAGAAGGCTGAGAGGGGATCTGGTGGCCATTTACAGTCACGGGGGAGCAGTGGAACTTGGGGGAGGCTCTTCCCATGGGCACCACCACGGGTTACTAGGAATAACAGCCAGAAATTGTTAGAGAGGAGGTTCAGGCTGGACATCAGGAGACATTACTTTACAGTTAGGGCTGCCAGGCTCTGGAATGGGCTCCCAAGGGAGGTGGTGTCTGTTCTGTCTTGGTCTTCAAGAGGAGGCTGGAGAGAGATTTGGCTGGGGTCTTATGTCCCCAGCACTCATTCCTGCCTGGGGCAGGGGGTCGGACCTGATGATCTGTTTAGGTCCCTTCCAACCTTAAGCACTATGAAACATGGCTGAAGGTGACCAGTGGCATCCCTCAGGGTTCAGTATTTGAATCAGTGCTTTTCAACATCAATGATTTGGATTCGGGTATTCAAAGCATACTGGCAAAGTTCGTGGATGACACCAAATTATGGCAGAGTGTGGTCACGCTTGAGGACAGGCTGGCATTACAGGTCAACCTGGACAGGCTTGCGATGTGGGTGGACCTCAACCTGATGTCGTTTGATTCAGAGAAATGTAAAGTGCTCCATCTGAGGAGAAATAATCCGCAACACACTTACAGGCCTGGCAGTGCTACGCTTGCCAGCACTACAATTGAAAGAGACCTGGGTGTCATGATAGACTACAGAATGAACATGAGCCACCAATGCGATGCTGTAGCTGGCAGAATGAATCAAACACTGGCATGCATCTACCGATGCATCTTGAGCAAGAGCAAGGATGTCATCCTCCCACTGTACTCACCTTGGTGAGACTGCAGCTGGAGCAGTGCATCCAGTTCTGGGTGCCACACTTGAGGAAGGATGTGGAGAAGCTTGAGAGAGCCCAAAGGAGGGACACATGCATGATTAGAGGCCCTAGAGACAAAGCTATACAAGAAGAGATTGAAAGACTTGGGACTCTTCAGCCCAGAGAAAAGAAGACTCAGAGGGGACTTGGTGGCAGGGGCTTACATTAGGGCCTGAGGGAGCATCTGTTCACCAAGGCACCCAAGGGGAAGACAAGAAACAATGGGTACAAACCAATTGAAGATCGGTTCAGACTGGACATAAGGAAAAACTTCTTTACACATTGAGTGCCAAGGGTCTGGAGCAGACTCCCCCAGAGGAGGTACAGTCACCCACCCTGTGATCTTCAAAAAGCATCTTGATGCCCATCTTGCTGAAGTCATCTGACCCCAGCGGTCTTTCCCGCCCAAGTGCATTGAGGCTGGACCCAATGATCTTGTAAGGTCCCTTCCAGCCCCTAACATCTATGAATCTATTATTGTGTTCTTCCTTACAATAGCCCTAGGAGGTATGGGAGAGATGTTAGTCTCTGTGTGTCCTGTCTGGGAAACAGGAAAGCTTTGAGCTGTCTGCAGCATACACTGTCCACATTGCCAACAGGGTGATAGGGCTCTGCATACGGGAGCAGTCCCTTTGCAAGCGTCTTCAGAGTGAAACCGTGGGATTTCACTGCATCATCCATGGAGTAACAGACCCCAAATTGTAGTCATCAATCTTAGAAGGGAAACCTGTCATGCAAAACCAGACAAAGGAGGACAGTAGGCAGTTAGGTGAAGGCAGGGAATGGAAAGCAAGCTTCTCTTGGCTACAGAGTGCTTCAAGGACTGAGAGGGTGGGAAGCCAAACCCAGCCAGGCGACAGCTTCACAGAACCGTTATTGTCGCTGGGGGCCAGCTGAGATTAAGTTTGCACTGTAGCACAATGGAGTGAAAGGGGTGTTATTTTAGGCATCTTGATTGTCTTGATTTGTCGCTCCAGACCATGTGGGCTGTGAATCACTTAATGCACTGGGTCCTGGATGCATATTCTATTTGCTGTTTGAAAGAGGGCAAACATTTGTTGAACAGTCAAAATTCACTGCCACTTTTGTCCCCTCAGAGAAGATGTAGTACAGATGTTTCTGGGCTTTCTCTTTCAAAGAGACAGCCTCCTCATGGCTGTAGTAGTGAAATGTGGAGAAACAGAAAGAGAAGGTTAGCAGTGTTCTCTCCTCAATCAAAGCAGGCAGCTTTAATAAAAAATTAAAACGTCCCCCACAGCCTTTCATGTGGAAAAAAAATCAAAGCATTTCACAAGCACTAGGAATGAATCACTTTTACAGTATCCCTCTGACATGTATGGCATTGCTTGTTACATGTACAGGAAACTGAGGCAAAGAGGGCTTTCCAAAACACATCAGCTAATTAGGTATAGGACCACAGCCAGCTAACATGCTTTAAATACAGTCCTTGTCCACACAGCATTTTGCAAGATGTTAGTTTATATATTGCAGCACAGTGCTTGTGAAGTGCTTTCCCAATGCGGACATGCCCTGAAATGTTAAGAGACCTGCCAGAGATTGCCTAGCTAATCTGTCTCTGGCAGAGAGATTACAATCCTTACTTTGCAACTTCCAATGATGTTCCTCGCACAAATCCATCCTTCACTCCATTACTGAATAACTAAGTTTTGGTTGAGTTCTGGGTGTTACTGGAAATCACTTGCCACTTCCCATGTGTGCAACCAGGTCTGGTAACTCTTATCTCCAAATTTAATTCTGCTGTAGTCCATTGGAACTGCTTGCCCATGTTCCTAACCTCCTGGTGTGATCTCTTTACCAGATCATCAAGTCATCAGCGTGGCAGGGATGTTGGCAGGCTTGGTGCACCCAAGAATCACCAGGAATTTACCCTGTTGCTATTTTATTGCAGCAAAGCCAGGAAAAGAGCTGTGTGAGGGGAAGAGTAGAGCCTTTCCACCTTACTAACCAACTTGCAGGATAAACTAATAATAAATCACAATTTTGGCCTTCATAGTCCTTCTGATGTAAACAGCTAAGGACTTAATGTGGGGGACAGTAACATAGGGATGTTTCCTAAAGCCCTCTGCCCACGTCTCATTGTTCTGTTCCCTCAGTCGTGAGCAGTAAACTGCTAGCCTGGAATTTCAGTTTTATAGCCAGTGGGCTCCTCCACATGGGCTGAGCCACAGCACCCTCACTCATGCTTCCTTCCCTAGTACTCAAGGCTGAAAAGACATGATTCTTGGTATCATGGTTTAGAGACTGCTGCCCTAAAGGATTTGTTGTCCTTAAAATTCCTGTAAAGAATAACTATTTAGGATGCTGATTTAGCAATGTCTGGCCAGTCAGTACCACAGAGTGCAGAGACTTCTTCAGTGTGAGATGCTTTTCAACTTGTATGGTGGGGCTGCCAGATATTTTGGATGACAGTTGTTGATGCCATGGAATCCAAAAAGACGTGGAGAACTGTGAGTGGGGAGGAGTGTGATCTGGACTTGCTACTATGAAAATTATAGAGCTTGTAGCAGATTGCTCTGTATAGCTCCAGCCAGATATTGCTCCGCTCCATGCCTCTTATCTTTAGAAGGTTTCTTCCTGGGCTTCCGTGTAGTAGATACAAGGTGGTAGATTTCTGGCAGAGCTTATCCATTAAAGAGTGCGAGGTGCTTGCCCAGAAGGAAATGTGAACTCCGCTAATGGATCCTTTTCCTTTTGGCCTCTATGTGACTGAAATTATCTTCTGTAATTAAAGTCTGCTGCTTGCACAGTCATTCTCTACTGGAATAAAAAGCCCTGAAGGTGTGGGGGGTGTATTTTATTCTTAAGGAAAGCAAAATATTACGAGAACTGCTGTTCAGGCAACAGAGAATTTCTGAGGGTTTCTCTCTCTGTATCCCACTCCCTCACTTGAATCTGTAGGAAATGATGTATCTTTTGTAGGCTCCAGCTTTGCACTTTTCAGCTGTCATGTTCAATTAGGAGGACAGGAAGAATACTGTTTCATCCATTCAGTGGCCTTTACCCACAAGATGTTTGTGCTCATGGAACTGAAGTCCCACCATACCAGCTTGGTGTCTTAGTAGAATAGGTCTGTGGAGAGCAAGTCTGCCAGTCCAGCTCCACATATCACTGCTCTGGTCCGGAGCATTCAGAGCAGTCTCTGGGCACATCAGCAGAGCTGTGTGAAGAGAAGACCTTTTTGTATTGTTAATATAAGGAAAAGGGTTGCATGTGTTGTCCTTTTAAGCCATCCAGTAGATACCATGCCCTGATCTGCCTTCCCCTTGAAATTCTCCAGTGTGCTAACTGTGAAGTGACCTGTATTTCAATTGCTTTAAACAAGCAACAATAAAAACATTAAAACAACTACATCTAATGAAATATTCAATGTTCCTCCCTCTAGGATGGAGAAGTGTACTGCATAGATGCTCGTTTCTATGGCAACATCAGCCGCTTTATAAACCATCTCTGTGAGCCAAACCTCATCCCTGTGCGAGTGTTCATGTCGCATCAGGATCTCCGCTTTCCCAGGATTGCCTTCTTCAGCACCAGGCATATAGAAGCTGGAGAAGAAATTGGGTATGTACTGTCCAAGGGGGAAACTGTCCCCAGACACACAGTAGCTTCCTTTGCTGCTACCATTTTTAGTGGGGCTTAGGGGCATTTTGAAGTTTGAAACTGAATAGCAAGAAGCAACCTCTAAAATGGGCCAACAGCTGTGAAGCTACACCAGGAACACAACATGTTGCTTGTCTTTTAAAGGGGAGTAGAGAGGGAAAGATGGCTTGAAGGGCCAGATTCAGAGGTGATTTCAACAGTGGCTCAAGTGGTCCAGCTGGGATAAATTGGCCAGAAAATGGTGGTGACAAAATAACTGCAACATATGTGCAACTTGCACCAAAACAGTATTGAGGAGGAACCACATTCAGCCCTCAACAGAACATGCTGATTCCAGATTCCTCTTAAAGTCAGTGAGCTGGTTTTGCTCCCACTTGCTGTAGTTTAGTGTCTGTGGGACTCTCCTGACTTCCATGGGGTTACCACCGATTGGCACCCAGAAAAATTGCAACGAAATTGGGCTTGGCTGAGGTTGCTCCTGAATACTTCTGTGGACCCAGAAGTGTTTGGAGAGCTGCTACTTTATTTTGAGCCTTCTTGTTGATTTAATTCTCTTGCTTCTGCCCCTTTCATTCTCTCTAAGTAGATTAAACGTGCTGCACACACCTAGAGAACAGCAGATCCAAGCAGGTGGTGATGCTTTGTCATTCATGTATTTTGTGAATGGTGCATACCACTATTTGCGTCTCTCCTGAATGTGTTAGTAGAAGATGCACCCATTCACTCCAAGCTATCCCTTCAGCCTCTGTGTTGAAAGGCTACAGAAATCCAGGTGACATCCACAAAATAGATGCTATTTTATCTCTGTGGTGGAAGGTACCCTACCCCACCTGGGAGCCAGGACCTAGAGGCTGCTGCACAAGGATTTCCCTTGGGGCAGCGACAGCCTACAGCCACATACCAGACTCCAAGGTCCTGTGTCAACCCCCTTTCCTACCAGCTATCAATGCCAGCAGCTCATTTGTTTTTATTTGTGTTGAGTTTGGTTTCCAGAGGTTTTTTGAGAGCTGCTCCTCCTGATAACTTGCATTTCTCATCTACAAGAAGATAAATGTGTTGTGATTAACTAAAGAAAGCTAGAGCCTGCCTCTGAGGCTTTATCCTTCAGGAGATTGACAGCCAAGACTGCAGATGCTTTTCCGTAGAGGGAAACAATTCAAAACAAGTTCTAGCCATAACTTGGAGTATGTAGGGTTGGGTGCTTTTGGGAAACTAGATGGCTCTGGGCCTCAGTGACAGCATAAGGGAACTTTCCACCAAAAAAGCATCTCATTCAGCTCCCTCCCAAGTTAACAGAGACTGAAATCCATTTTCACCTGACATCCTTTTGACAAGCTTTTTCTGCCGAATTGGCAAGCCTCAGTTCAGTTCATAGTGATCCAGTACCAACTCACATTAAAAATGCTTGTTGCAGCTGGGGCAGCATTCCTGTCCTGCTGTTCCTTCTGGCTCTGATGGCTTCTACATCTTGCAATGATGCAAGAGAGGGACAGGGACTGGCGTTTCCTGAGCTTCCCTCATCTCTTTGGCAGCATCTTCATAACAGTGGAAGAGAAGGAGTGAAACCACAATGTAAGAAGCACTAACCCAAGAATGTAAGCAGAGGAGGGTTCCATGGGGCAGGAGGAGGACCTTACAAAAGCAGAGAGAGATGCCATTGTTCATGCTTAGTGAGCTCAGAGATGCAGAGAGTGTCAGGGTTGGTTCCTTTAAAGGGTCCTACAGCTGCTCTAGAGGAGCATTGGTAGCCCTGGAAGAAGGACAGGAAATGACAGCTCAGTTCACCAGGTTTACCTGAGATTAAAACCTAGAGGCCTGGCAGCTTAAATCGGGTGCATGTCACACCCTTGCTGTTTATTCCATGATTAACACATTATTCACAACATAAATGTAACATACAGAGGGGGCCTTAGGAAAGGGTTGGCTCAGCAGACATATATTCCATAGGGCAGGAAGCCACTGAGAAAGGAGGAAGCAGTTCTCCCCTCTAGGTTTATTTGTTAGCATATTTTATCCTTCAGTTTTCTCTTCTTAGGAAAGAGTACAAGCCCCAGATGCTGCTTGCTGCTGATTCTTTTAAGCTAACCCAGCCAGATCAGGCTGATGCATCATTCCTATTCCTTTAGTTCCACCTGCATATCTGTGCTCCCCTACCAGATCTGTATGCATGCCCCTTCCACGCAGAGCTCCAGTGACCAAACATTCCCCTTTTTTCTCTCTCTCTCTCTCTCTCCTTCAGCTTTGACTACGGAGACCGGTTCTGGGACATCAAAGGCAAATACTTCAGCTGCCAGTGCGGTTCACCCAAGTGCAAACACTCGAGTGCAGCGCTGGCCCAGCGACAAGCTAGCACATCCTCCCAGGACGCACAGGAAAATGGGCTCCCTGACACCAGCTCTGCCACAGCAGCCGGCCCCTTTTGAGGCTCTGCTCCCCAGAGACTGACTTGTTTTAACCCTATAGATTCACATACTGTTTGAATTCCCATTTAAAGAGAGAACTCCTTCGAGGAAAGCTAAGGGTTTGTGACACTTAGGGCTGTACTGCCGACTGTTACTTGAGGAATAAGTGAAAGCAAATCCTGACTTAATGTTGTTGTTTCCCCCTCCTCAGCCCTGGAAAGCTGCTGGTTTCACAGTGCGTGCGGAGGGGTGGCTGATGCATTTTTCCATGCAAGCTGTCCTAAGCCTCCGTCTTTTAATGTCCTAAGTGTTGTCAGAGCCAAGGGAGTGTGTCCCTTCCTCCTCTGAATATTATTAATTGAATAGAACGTTCATGCCAAGTCATCTCCAAGTCACTTGTAACAAACTTTGAATACTTGACGAAACTTTCTTATCAAAAGAGGGGGAGCGGAAAAAAGATTCTTGTGTGTTGGTTTACTTGGCACAGCCCTGGGGCAGGTCCTGCCGGTCATTTAAACCATGAATTTCTCCTGCTCCCTGTCAGACGTTGCAGCATGGTCTTTCCAGGTCCCATTGCTGGGAGTTGGAGGGTGGTCACTTCTAACAGATGCCTGTCGGTTACCAAATCCACCCATTTATTATTCTCTCTTATTTCCCCTAAAAAGGGGGAGAAGCTCCTTTTCCTTGATACCCTTCCAGTTCCTGTCTCTCTTCTAAGTCTGCCAGAGATTCTCTCCCCACTGCATCCTGCTCCCTACCCAGCTTTCTCCGTTAAACCAGCCCTCACCCCTGCCTGTGGTTGGGCTTCTTACTGTTTCAGTGTTCGTTTCACCAATGGAAGGATTTCTCTCTCTATCCCATTAGTGATTTCAGAGAGGGAAGGTTGAAGGGGATTGTACAAGACACTAACTTCTTTTAAAAGAAGCAGTTTGCTTTTTTAAAACAAAAAATTAAATGATCTATATTCTAGAGAACCTCTGACTGGCATTTCTCAGGAGGATGCTACAGGCTGGGGCAGACATCAGACAGGACATGTCACAGCGAGAAGATACAGACGCCACCAGCTCATCTGTACCCATCACTTTTCTCAATGCTGGGCACCTTCAATTAATTTTTAAAGCCACACGCTACGAGGTTTAAATAAACTGATTTATTTTTTACCATTATTAAAACATTGGGGACTAGCATTAAAAAACAAACAAACAAACAAAAACCACAAAACAAAAACGGTGCTGATTCTGGTGTGATTTTTACTCACCACGTGAATATAAACTATCAATTGTATAAAAAGAACAAAGTGATTTTAGTATAAAAATGCAGGAAAAAAAACAAAACCTTTTTTAAATTGTTAGTATTGTAGTGTGAATAAATTTGTCATCACCTTTTGTGTGATGGCTGGGCAGGGCATTATCCTCATTTTTTGGCATATATCTTTAAATACTGTAATTAGTGCAGTAACAGTTTTTTTTGTGCATCTCTTCTAAAACATTCATAATGCCGTCATGTTTATTATTTTTTTTCTGTTAATGTTTTTGACAATTTTAAAGGAGCAGTCTTTTGGCTCTGGTCATTTTCTTGTTCTGTTTTCAATGAAATCAATAAAAAAAGTGCTTTAAAAGTGAGTTTGGTCCTTTTATTTGTGAGGCAGCATTGCCAACTCTCTGAATGTCATCACAAATCTCATGATATTTGGGGGGCAGCGGTGTGCGCGTGTGTGTTTTGGTTTGGGGCTTCATTTACTTATTTAAATTAACCTCTAGCTCCAGGAGTTGTATGAGAATCTCAGCTAGTTTTTGTCAAGGTGATATTCTGGCCCTTGTATGAATGTGAATAAAATGTGAATTCTGATTGCTCCGAAACTAGAAAACAAATTAAAAGATCATCAAATGCATGGCTGTTTTTTCATAGACTGTAATTTCATATTCACATACTGTAATTTTAAGCCAACTTTATGATATTTTGGGGGCCTGACATGATTTTTGTTGCTACTTGAGGTTGGCAGTACTGTTCCAGGGTGATCTGCCCCCACCAGTCTTGGCAGAATGAATTAGCAACATTTTGTTGAAAAAAATACCTGTCATTTGTTTAGATAGTTGTGCCCACAAAGAGCCCCCAGACTTCAGTCTACCTACTAGATCACGGTGCAGAACTGTGGCTGTAGTCGGGAAAGTTACCACCCCTGGGATTAAAGCTATTTATTTGCTCTTCAATGAAATAAGTAGTTGCTTGGGGGGAAGTGGCTATAAGAATTTTGCAATACTGTCCTGAGAGCGCCCTGAGGGTATATCTGCACCACTTCTCTGGTACGCTCTGCTCTCAAGCATACTTCATCCACCTGCCCACACTTGCAGGCCTCAAACCCTGAATTGAAGCAACTCCAGGCAATGCTTCCCACTGGAAGCATCTCAAGATCTTGTGAGCAGTGTCTTGATGCACCAGAAACTAGTTTCACCAGCTCATTGCCAGGTCTGGCACTTTGGAAGCAGTGGTGGGTGAGTGCAGCATGCTTAACAGCCTGCCTCAGGAGCACTGAGGAAGCCATGCAGACATACCCAATGGCATTACTCCCGTACCAGCTTGTTTGGGTCGTCTGGGATCTCTCATTATTCCAGATTACATTGCCATGCCCTGGAGCTTTTGTGCCTGTCTTTACTTATGTATGATGTATAAAGAAGGTCTTACAGGGTCTTCATACCTCCACCCCCTCAGCAGTCTTTTAAAAAGGGTCAGAGAAGGTATGGTGTTGGTTTCCTTTGGAATGGCATAGGAAGCTGGTTAAAAATATCAGGAGTGTCACCTGTGGGATTTCTGTTCTTGCTCAAGGACTTGCTGAATGACTCAGAGGTCAACTGGGAGCAGCCTCAGCCTGAAACGAACAGCTGAGTGGGGGTGGCAGTGAATCCCCTGCACAGAGCTTTGCACTCATGAGCTTGAGTTGAATTGGTGTTGGCAAAACAGTATTTCTAGCCAGTCTGGACAGTAATTGCTTCCTTACCCAGTCCAGGTTTCTGTTCCTGCTTTGTCTCCACTCTCAGAGTCCTGCTAGTTCCCTAGTGGTTCAAACAGTCTTCCAGAGTAAGACAAAGCCTGAATTTTTAATGCGAGAAATCAAGTGGAGGGGAAGGAGATAATGATATGGGGAACGGGGAGAAGAGCCCTTCTCCAGCTCAAATCAATAACCTTTTTCCTGTTTACTTTTAAGATAGCAACTCTGAAGTTCCTTCCTTGGGAGCACCTGATTGAGAGACCTCCAAAGCAGAAGGGTGACAATGGGTCCAGAAAGAGGAAAAGGTGTTCGTGGTCAGCCCACATGCTTGATTTTCGAGGTTGCCTGCTCTATATTAAACATTGACCTGTGAGAACAGAGCCCTTAGGACCTTATGAGAGGGCTGAGAGGTCAGTTCTGGCACCTTGAAGATAATGGACTCTTCCTTCAAAGTCCTGGTTCGGCAGTGCCCACTCAGCTCGAGGTCACTGCTCAGACTCTGGCAGCAGGGGGAGAAGGGACTTCGATTCCCTTCTTAAGAGGGATTGATTTGGCTCCAGCAATCTGTGGGGGTCGAGAAGCCCTTAAATCTCCCAAATGACTAAGCACCACCATTGAGATTTGTCTCCATAAATCTTCCTTTGAAGACCAATAACAAACCCTCTGAGTCATTTGCAGTCAATATCTCATAAAAATATTCATAAATGGTAGTAAAAACTCAGCCCGACTCCAGCTGGAAAGATAAGGGGGAGGTTAGGGTTTCAGCCGCATTTGTTCTTAGCCAGACGGCAGGAGCATTAGCTGACCTTGTCTCCCCTGCGGAGAGAAGGATCCCCTCCCCCTCAGTTCAAGGCTCTGCAGTGGGATGCAGCTGCCATCCTTTTGTAGGAGGATTGTACTGGATTGCCTCTGAAACTCCCTCCATCTCCCCCTTTGCCTAGTGCAGTGTTTTTCAACCTGTGGGTCGCAAGAATATATGAAAGGGTTGCAAACAAACTTTAAAGATGGACCAACAAACTTTAAATATGGATTCTCTTTTAAAAGAGAAAAATGTAGGAAATGGTTTTTCCTTACAGGCTGGCAGAGTTCGAGCCTGCGAGGGGGTGTTTGGGCCCCCCCTGTCCCACACATGCACTCCCTGCCCCATATACTGCAGGGCTGGGGCAGCAGCGAGTCAGGCTTGAGGGGCACTGGGTCTGGACTGACCATCAATGTTTACAAATGGGTCCTGGTGCAAAAAAGGTTGAGAACCACTGGCCTAGTGTGAGCTGGTCAGTATTATCAATCATGCTCTTTGGGACTTTTTTAGCCTTTTTCATTTTCATGGCACTTGGTTAACAAGTGGCACAAATCAACCTCTATATCAGTGGGCAAGTAAATACAGCTCTGAGGGGGAGGCAGAAGCAAGGAGGCAAGAGGAGACTTCCCCAAGATTGGATAGACCATCCCTAGCAGAGGCAGGGTTAGCAGGCCATGAGCTAATTGCATTCAAATGGCTGAACCACACTGCCACAAAACACTCTGCTCTCCCTGTTCTTGGAGTTGACATGGGTTGGCCGTGGAGTAAGGGACCAGAAAATGGAATTAAGCTAGTCTGACCTCAAGGCTTTTTGAGTCAGACAGACAAGCAAAAGGCACAAGAAAGAAATGTTTCACAGGGCATCCCTTCCCCAGCCAGCTTCAAGAGTGTGTCCAGCCCAGCAAGCACCTTTGATGCTCTTTCAGTCTGAGCTTCTAACTGGGTCCTCTACTAGGCAGCATTTTCCTCGCCTACCAGTTATGGCTGTTCTTCCTCCTAGCCATCCCAGTTCCCTTCTGCTATTTGGGAATGGAGGGCTGCTACCCCTCGCTTTTGTCATTGCTGCCTCAGTACACATCCTCTGGGCAGCTGAGACTATTAACTATGCAGCTGGCTTTTTCCAGCTAGTTGTCCATTTGGAGGCCTTGGGGGAAGTGGCTGCATGTGTGATTTGTCTTTGGCCATCTCCTTACTTTCCATTTCCCTTGGGCTGCTTATTAATCTGTTTCATCAGGAGGGCAGGTAATTAAGTCTTGCTAGTAAGCTACTGGTTGCACTTAGATGCCGAGCAACTGGAAGCCTATTATCACCTCCTAAACAGGGAATTTAGGGCTCCTCACATTTAACTTGAAGAGAGGCCTGTGATAATAAATACACTGGATAGCCAAAGGGACCTGGGGAAGAAGCAACTGCTTCTTATTAATAGCAATGCCTGGAGGAAATATGGAAACAGAGCATAGCTGAGACACCAGTTGGAGCTTTAAAGATAAAAGGGAAGCAGTGACATTGTAAGAGAATTCAGAGGGCCAGTTCCTGATCTGCTTCCCATTCCTGTCCTCATTCACATTGCTCCATGGATTTTGGTAGAGCTCCTCCATGTCAATGCTAGCACAAAATTTGTCCCACAGCAACAAGCCAAGAAACCCCTCCCCACACTATCTACTTTGCTTCACTTTAGTTTGTCCTCTGCCTACTTCCAAATATAAAGGACAGGCAAAGGATGTCTCAGGACAGACAGGGATGGGGGAGCACTTATTCATGCCCAAAAATGACATCCAACTATTCAGGTAGGATTATATATGCGTCTTTATAGGGATTTGGGAAGAATCTAAAACATATGTATATGTATATGCATCACTTCTTCCCCAGGTCCCTTTGGCTATCCAGTACAGTATATTTACTATCACAGGCCTCTCTCCAAGTTAACTTTTAGGAGCTTTAAAATGTAGGAGGTGACAATAGGCCTCTTCTAGTTGCTTGGCACCTACCAGTAGGTGCATAGAAATGCCTTTAATTCTTCCCCAATCACCAGGAACAGTTTGGGCTGGGATGAAATTTCATTCATGGATAGAAAGAGAACAAGCTCCTGGGATGGGAGAGGATGAAGGCTGTTCCTGGAGTCTGTTCTCTTTCCAGGCACCTTTCTGCTAACCAGTGGAGTAAGACTTTAAGCTTTTTGAACCTCTGAAGAGGCCAGCTGTGAGTCAGGGCTATTGGACAATTCTCCACAAGGCTCTGCTGGGATGCCTGAGCCCAATGAGTCCTCAGAGGGATTCAGTCTGTTATCTCTGTTAAGCTGGTACTCCTCAGCCTTGCTCAGCTCCCAACACCCTGTTGGCAGTCTTTTTTTCTTTTCCAGCCTCCTGGCTAAATAAAAAAAATAATAATTTAGACCAAATTTAGGGACTAGAGGGTGTCTATACATGTTCTCAGGGTGGGGAGGGGCCGTTTTAATTAGAACGGTTCACTGACACCTGCTCTAAGTAAAATGGCTCAACATGATGTTTGTTAAGCCCCTGGTGCTGTGTGTCACCAGAAGAGGAAGCCCCTAGCAGCAATCCCACAGTCCTTCTGGCTCCTCCACTCCACTTTCTGTCTCTGCTGTCTGTAATTAGAGCCACGCACAGAAGGAGAGACGAACAGTGCCTTGCTGGTTCCTGGAAGAGCTTTGCTTCCAAGGTGAGGTAGCTACAAGTTAGGCTAGAGACAGGGAGAGGTGACTGATGTGATGTTGGTTGCTTGACAGGCATATGGCATGAGTCAGAAAGGGGCCAAAGGTCTGCCCAAGCCTAGTGGCCATTGTGGGTAAATTGCACCAAT